ACGGAAGAGAAGAAAGAAGAGGTCAACATTGTCGGATATAAATTTCATTTATTAGAAGGAAGAAGAAAAAGGCAAAGAGAATAGTGATAATTGAAGCATAAAGAGATGAATGCTGAAGAAAAAATATATAACTGAATGAATGGTCAACTCTGCTTCTATTCAGTGATAACCAATGATGTCCATTCATTTAATACAAATGACAAGGGTCATGGCTTGTTGCCATATGTTTACCTTCCCAATGACCACTCATTCATTCATTCAATGACATATTTTATTCACTGCATTAGCTACTTCCTAACAATAGTAGTATTTGCATGATGTTTGTGAGTGAAGAAAGTGAGTATCATATTCAGCATTTGCGATAATCTATTCATATCTACGGCGATATTGTATTTACGCTAATTTATTCGATATTAATGAAAGTTACATTTCAAATTTAAATTGAGAAAATTCTCTGAAAGAAACAAATAAGAATGGAAATTGAGAATTTAAAACTTAACTTGATTATTAGTTAGTGTAATACAGAATTTATATCATTCTTTTCTTTTCAATGAATAAGCTGGAAATTGCAGAAGGAACGGATGACTCGAAAAATCTGCAAAAGAAATATACGAGAAAAATGGATAAATTTCCTCCTCGCAATTCACATTATAATATAATATAGGTTACGAGAAATATTCACATTACAGTGAAAACGTGAAATGAACTTCCGCAACAAATATTTTAAATTATCTGTCATTTTCTAACAAATGATAGTTAACAAAGTTTATAATTTTCTTAAATTTGATTTTAAATTATAATAGCAAAATTGCTGAGATATGGCAACCGATAGATATAAATGTGTGACATTGAAATAATTGATGCTGTTACTACTATTGCTGCCGTTGAAGTGAGATTGATGCTAAGGAAGAAGGTCAGGTCAAGTTAGGTCAAGTTACATCTTTCATATGCTTCCAAATCTCTTTTTAATAAGATGAGCGAATTATTATTGACTTGCTCTATTAATAATTTCGTTTTTTAAATCGTTCATTTAATTTAAGTTATTTGAAATTCAAATATAATACATTTCATTCCCATTATTTTCTTATATTTCATATAATCTTACTATTGTTAATTTAAATTTTTTGTTAAATTAATTGGACAAAAGTTAAAATATATTATTAATATGTGATAAAATTCACTGATAAACTTTGATAAATGAAAAGTGTTAATATCGGCGCTAATGTAACGATATTTGGCGCAATTATTTAATGAATGAATTTGGGTTTTCCTCATTCCAAACTTCCTCATTCTTTATTTGAGCTGTTAAAATTTTCATCCATTTTACATTTCAAAAAAAAGGAACTCATTTTTTTCCTTCTCTCTCTTTTTCTCTCTCTCCCTCTGTCCTTCTGTCCCATAGGAATAATTAGTTATTCATTTATGAGTGAATAGTAAGAATGGAATGGAATAAAGAATGAGGAAGTTTAGATAAGTTTAAATAGCATAACATCGGAAGCTCAAATAAACTTTACATGACAGTTTGGTTCAATTAGAAAGAATCAAACTTCCTTCCTTTTATGGATAGATATAAAAGATTTTCACCTCTCAAGCAGACAGCCTTTTTTGCCTTCTTTTATTTTTGTTGAAAAGCAAAAGTAAAAGCTTTTAGAGATTTAACAATAAGAGAAAAAAGACAAATTCCTTCTTTTCTTTCTCTTTCTTTTCTTATCAACAAATACATATTATTTTTTCTCTTTTCATTTTCTGTTTCAATTTAAATTTTATAGGAAAACGAAAAAGGGACAATCAATATTTTCTTATCAGTTCTATTCTATTCCATTTTAATAAATAATGAAATATGTTGAAATTTGAATATGCTATCAAATGAAAACAATCAATATTTTCTTATCAGTTCTATTCTATTCCGTTTTAATAAATAAAGAAAAAGGAAAATAAATATTGTTCCGAATATATAAATTGAATTTATCATTTAGCAAATTTAATATTAATTCTTACGATTACTGTATGATATCTAATAAATAATCGTTTAATTTATTATCAGTAACATTGATTTCTGTCATTTTAAAATGATAGCATATTCGAATTTCATTTGTTAATTTTCATGATATTAATTTTTATTATTTCATTTCATTTCATTTCTATACGACTGTTTTAATTTATTAATAGCAAAATATTACTTCCAGCGATAGCATATTCAAAATTTATCACTTCCTTTAATAATACGTCTATGTCCGATCAATCTTACAATCTTACTGTTCCTTATCTTAATTATGTATACTGACTTTTATTACAGATATTTTCTCTCTCATATCTAATTTTTATTCATTCAAATTAATTCATTTGTTGCGCTGAAAATTGCATCAAACATAATCGTTTGATTGTTTGATTGATTGATTGATTGATTGGAATTGATCTATTTACTGCTGTCAAGTAAATGGTATAAAAGAATACTGTTAAAAGTTGTTTATGTTCAAATAAGTAATGCAAATTTTTTTTTAGTATTATTAAAAAAGAAATCATTTCCCTTAACCTTTCGCTTATTATCATTAAGCTAATGTACCATATCTTATAATCTTTCCATAATTTCACTTTATTTCCAATGCTCTCCTGCTCTCCCTCTCTCTCTCTTCTATTATCGTCATTATCATTATCATATCAAATCAATTGATCCGGAATGGAAAGCTGCTTTGCAAGATTTACATATTTGTGACAACAATCATTTCTATATTTGCATTAATCTCATAATAACACATGATGATAACATATCTAGTGAATTAATCTTCGATTAACAACGTGAGATCACCGATTAATCTAGCAATAATGTGTGATCGCTTTATCATTTAGTAGTAGTTATATCCGAGAAAAAAAAACTGACAATCAATGTTAACAATTTCAAATGAATTCGTTATAATAATGATAGTAATAATAATGGAATAGATCACTTCACTTCAATTGAAGAGTAACAAATTAAGTGTGCTACAAGTGAAATTTGTTGTAACCAACCGTGATCAAATAATATGTTACAATTCAAATTTATACAAGATATAAAACTATAAAACTGTTTCATTGGGAGAAAATTATTGTATGGAATAGAGAGAGTAAAATTAAATAATTAATTTAAGTAAAAGATAAAAAGAAGGAAAGAAATTATTTGTAATTTGAAAATGAAGGTTAAATAAAACATTAGTGAATGAAATCAGTTGAATATTATAAAGCAAAATATTTCTTAATCTATACAATATACATGAAATTTTAATTGAAAATGCATTACTCGGCAAATACGGTAATTTTGAAAATGTAAATTAAAAAAATACCTGGCAAATGAAGCAAATTTGAAGCTGTGAATTACGACAATATTATACAAATAAGATGAATTTGAAGTGCTGAGATAAAACATTGCTTATTAACAAAGAGTTAATGGCAACTTATCTATACAGCAAATGACTTATCTATACAGATAAACATCATAAAAGTAAGCATAACATTTTAAATAGATTTTAAATATCGATTGAAAAAGATTGTCATCAATTTTGATTAATCATAATAAAAAAAATGAGATAATGACAAAGAAGAGAAATTTAGAATGAAGGAACAATAATGGAAAGTATCCGGATAACTTTAGCATCAGGAAATATCAGGAAAAAAGCATCAGGAAATATCAGAGTGATCTTGGATTGTGCTTGATTCGAAATTTCCGAATTTTCGATAATCATTGCTGAACATATTGTAGTAGAACACAATCAGCTTGACATAATCAACATAATCACTATAATTCAAACGCAAATATAAACTATAATTTAAGTGCAAATAGTTAGGAATAAGAAAATAAAAAGCATTTAAATTAATAAATATAAAAAATGTTAAATTATGTCAGATACTATCCATTTTTATCAAATTTTAACTTTTCTATTATATCTGCAAAATTTTTTGCAAAAATATCTGCAAAATTTTGTGTTACAAATATAATTTTTTGAATTCTCATAAATGAGAATTCAAAAAATTATATTTGTAACACAGTGCTGACAATAAGACAAAAATTTAAATTTAAAAATTTTTGAAATTTTCAAATAGAGAAGATTTATACGACAAATGTTGAAGTTTCATAAGAATATCTGATATTAATAAATTGTTTTCTTTTTGTTTAGAAGAAGAAATTAATTCAACGAAATGAATTCCTTTTGAACTAATAGAAATTGTGAAAATGATCAGATAGTTGCCATTACACATTGATTTAAAAATCTTCCTTCTCTTTTTCTTCTTTCTATTAATGAATTTCTTCTTCTTCTTCTTCTTGTTGTTATCAGAAACAAAAATGAACAACGATGATGACCCAAATAATATCCAAATAATGGAACGATAATAAAAATGAAAAGAGAGGTATGGGTAGTAAATGAATGGCGAACGGTTGGAAAAAAGGTTGGATAAAAGATTGGTGACATCGGACTACTTAATTTTACGGTGAAGTGGAGGACGCCAAATGTAGTGACAGACGAGAAATGAAAATGCATTTCATTAAAATGATAATTTTCATTGTAATTTTGTCGCTGATACTGTTAACAATAATAGCAAACGATGGTATGTTATGCCTTCTTTTCTTTTTATTTTATTATATTAAAATTATTGAAATTTGAATTCAAATTTTTTGAATATTCTTTCAATAAGTTACTTTAGAAGATTACCTTAGTCTCTTTGTTTGTATTTTATTATTAAAGAATGAAAATAATGTTTTTATTGCTATTAAGCTATTAATGCTATCCGATAAGTATTAATTAAATATAAAATTTATTGTGACGCCTTTTCTCATACTAATTTCATTTTATAACGATATATTCAGTTATTTTTTATATACCATAATATTAATTTCATTTCCTGAAGTTTTATTTAATTTTTTAAATTTGAATCCCAAATTAATTATACTTTTCTCTCCTGATGTATTTCTTTAAATTCTAAATCAGATATTAGAATATTCCGATTTTATAGAAATGAACATATTCGATATGACATTTGCAAGTATTACGATACCGAAGAATTACCGGAATAAACATGCACTTCCGTTTCCTTCACCTTCCATTGTCGCTGTTAGTTTCCTTCTTTTCTTTTTATTTTAAATTCCAATTGTTTTTATTTATTTTAATTCCTATCGGAATTTATTTTAAATAATTTTAATATTTTGCAAAACCTTAAATTTTTACTAAATTTTTCTTCTAAAGAAAGAAAATTTCACAGGCCTTAGTTTAAGTTTACAAATACAGTAAGCACAAGCATTGGTCTTTATTGGCCTTAATGACACCCAATCCAATAGAAAAATTAGACTGTTCATTTCACAAAATGATATTATTCACCTTTTGAGCTTTAAATCTTGATTGATTGATGAAAATTTCTTAGCATTTTGCAGTCATTAAATGCGTCATCATTTTCTCCTTCACAATATGACCTTAAAGTTTACTTTCAAAATGATCGATCATAAAATAGACCTTTACTTTGTTAACTTGTTGTTTTACATTTTGAATCCTTCTTTAATAATTTTTTTCGGACTTAAAATAGTGCGTAGTGTTGTTTTATTTTATTCGGAATAATTACGATGCTATTTCTCATGTAATTTTTTCAGGATGTCAATGAAAGTTTTCATTTATCGCTACGGCAAACGGAATATTCAAATACCTTCACTATCATTCCAAAAGTTATCGTTGCTGGTCAGCAATTTGACATCTATCTTAATGATACGCATATCCTGAACGTTGCTGATAAAATAAAACTTCAGGTATGATAAATAATAATGCACCATTTGACTTTATTTATACTCAAAATACATGAATAGAAATTGATCGATGCAGTGAAATTTTGCTAATATAAATTTGAAAAATAAAATGAATTTTGAAGATTGTTTTTTTAAATTGAAAAATAGAGGAAGAGATTATAAATATAAACAGAATAGATTAAAATGTGGAATCAATTTCGTTTCTCAATCTCATTTAGCTATACATTTTGCGTAGCTTATAATGCTGTCAACAAAATAGGCCTAATTACGATAAGTTTAAAAATATGAATAAAATATTTCATATCAACGAATAGCGACATTTTGATTTATTTTTAGAAATTATATTAAAAATGGAGCAGATATTATCAAATCCATTCGTCTAAACTAGTCTGAAAACTGAATTGAATAAATCGAATAGCTTTTAAAATATCAATACATTTATCATTCATAACTTAGCAGAACTGTCTCTTTCTATCGGATAACCTTGAACCGGTTTTCAGTCATCATTCATTAACTAACTATTCTATTTTCATCACTAATTCACATCACTAAATTGTACTATCTTGGTAAATAATACTGAATTATAATTACCTTCGGGAAGTGTTGTAATCTCATCTTTCCTACAACTGTATTACTCAAATGTGAGAGAAAACTGAAAATTTATAAACATGATAAATCGAAATAAGTTATTATTAGAAAGCTGTCAAAGCATTTATGAATGGAGAATTTTGGGATTCTCAATGTCCCGGTTGTCAAGAATCATTCCTAAAGCTTTTCCTTGCTATCCTGAAAATAGAATATCCACAAAGTGAAATTTTAATGATAATAAAAGTTATTTATTTATACACTGAACGAAGTAGAATTTTATAAAAATTAATGGAAGTGCAACAATATGATTATTTTGCGATAAAATCTCCGATAATTTTTATTTCATTCTTTTAGAATAAAATTACAAAACAAAATTAAATTCTTCATTATCTTTAAAATCTGAATTCAGAGTTGAATAATAAAATAATAATTATATTGCATTATAAGAAATTCGAGCAAATTATATTCATATCAAATATATATTATATGTTTAGTAAAAATAGAAATTAATCAATGATAATTGATAGGTTGAGGCAAAATCTACACGTTCTTCACGTCGAGGAGCTTTCATGTTGGAGATTAACGTGAACAATGTCATGCATAAGCGATTATTTGAAGTTGACGAATATATGTTTGAGATGCCAACATATTCTCAAACTACCAAAATTGGCACTATTAAGGTTTATCATCTTTATTCTCTCTATTTATTAAAACCATGAAAATAACTACAAAATTGTTCCGTATTAATTTCCTTTGAAAAAATTAAATGAAAATGTCGTTAAGAAAACTATTCCGGTTATTTGCTAAAACATGTCTAGTCAGTCTGATGTGTACATACTTCACATTGAGTATGCACGATTTTCTGAAAATACCTGATGACATCATCATATCTAGTTTAATTCATCCACTGCAATAGCACTTGAAGTCTGAAAATCTTCAGCTAGAGCATTTTCAGCTGGTTAGTGGAGTTGCAACTGAAGACATTAAGTATACGATATATGGTAGCATGGCTAAATAGTAAGTTTTATGGATAAATCAGGAAAATAGGAAAACGTTGAAAATAGCAACAATATCGCAAAATAAGATTTTATTTAATTGGTAGAATCATTGTTGGCTGATTATTGTGGTGAACGAAATTTGACGTATTAATTCGACGGAATACGTCAAATTATGCTAACGTTAATTCATTTCACGTTTCATTGATCAAAATACATTCTCGAATTGCCATCAAAATCACAGATAATATAAAATAAAACTAGAATTAAGGTTAACTAAATAATAAAGAAAATAATAAAGAAGAAACAAAAGAGAAATCGTTAAACAAACTTAAATATTCATTTATTTTCAGTTTTTCGTTGGAAACCGTTGGAACTAAAAGTATTGAATTGATAAATTTGGAATGTCCATCGGAATGTCATAAAATACCGCGACAATTCGCACTTATGATACGTGCAATAATTGCAAATAGCAAACAATCATATGATCTACCGATATCAATCACATTTACTGGTAATGATGACGGACAAAAACCACGTTTCAAACAATCTGTGATTCCACTAAATCTTAAGGAAAAATCATGGATGAATAATCCATTATTAATAGAAGTTGACAATCCCAATGATACTAATCTCACATTTATTCTCAATGATTATAATCCAATTTTTGAAATTGACGAAAAATTTGGTGTCCTTTCGATTCGAGTAAGTTTTTGTTTAATTTTTTTTGGATGGAATTTACAACGCTATTCAATAATATATAGTAAAATAGAAAGTATTAAATTTTTAATATTAGATTTCATATATATGAGAATATGGATGGAATGAAGAAAATTTGAAGAGGTGGCAATATTTTTTTAACGCTTCATTTATTTCTTTTCAATCATTTTCCATCTTTTATTCATCAAATGCTTTAAATTCAATTCATTTTCACATTAAAATTATTAATCTAAAATTTGGAAAAAAATTTAATTGAATTTGAAAATCTAAGAAAATTCTCTCTTAATTTCTTCTTCGATAAAAGCATTACTGTTATCACTCTTTATTATTACTTATTATAGATAAGAATACGGTTTTTTTTTTCACCGATGAATTAAATTTAAAAGAAAATTTTGAATTTCAGAATAGCGAATTACTTACTATAGATAATCTTGGTGAACGTTTTAATATGTCGCTGTCAGTATCGGATGGAAAGAATGATATTGATACAGCGATTATTATGATAACTCTCAATCCAAATATCGATCAACAAACTGTGGCACCAAAATTTGCACATGTAAATTTTTCCTTTTTGTTTTTTTCTTTCGTCCAATAATAAATGAAATATAAACGTTGTCAGTGATTTTCTTTCCTTTTGCAAAATTTTAAAAATATTCTGAAATGAAATTTACTTAAATTTAATTCCGTAGTCATTTAGATTCTTAATTAAACTTTTTTAAATTTTTTAGAATGTTTATGCATTTGCGGCAAAACCTGGTGAATCTTTTGTGGGCCAAGTATTAGCTCAAAATTTAGATGGTGACATAACATATCGTATTGCTGAAGGTGGTGCAACATTATTTCGAATTAATGGAACTGATGGAAGAATTTTCTATTATGGACCACTTAGCAAAGATTCACATAACTATGAGTTAAAGGTTAACATTGTTAATGTATATTTAAATTTCCTTCTTTGCTCTTGGATCTTAGAAAATTTACCGATATTGCAAGTGTTATTGATGAATAAAATTAAATTTGATTGAATTTATTTCAGGTTGTGGCGATAGATGAAAGTTCACCACCATATGTTGATGTAACAATTGTTCAAGTATTAATTGCTGGCTTAGGAAGTTCACCAGCTCAATTTAAAACTAAGGAACCTATTTTAGTTACTATTAACAAAAGTAAGTTTAAATTAACAGTGTATTCTGTTATATCACACGATAGATATTCCATTTTATCAAAATTATCATAACTACCCATATGTAATCTCTACTTATGCTTCCGGAACTAATTTTGTGTTTTTGGAATTGATATAGTCTGAAATCGAAGAAAGCTAAAACTTTCCATTCAAATTATTTGATATTTCTAAATTTCTCTTGAAATGAATTTAGCGCCGATTTTTCTCATGTACAATATTGTTTGATTCAAAATTTCTAAAAAAAATTCTTATAATGAAATTACAAATTTTTGTTGCAAAGCCTAAAATGCTTTTCGCCTTTTTTAGCAAGTGGCGCCGGAACAATACTTCATCAATTTACTGCATTAGATGCCGATCCGAATGCAAAATTAATGTATTCGATAAATTCACTGAAAGCTTACGATGATCTTGGTAATATCCTTCCGGATTCTTCCCAGTTGCTTGAGCATTTCCGTTTTCGTAAAAATGGTCTCAACGATGGAACACTTCAACTTGCGAAGAGCTTCAAAGGCACTTTCATTATGGCATTTTGGGCAAATATTAGCGTTGCTGATATGAGCCATCCGGATGAACCGGATGATAAAGGTTGCATTTTTTTTTAATAACACCTATTAGGTTTCAAATTTTCATCATAAAGTTTAATTCATGAGACAATAAATTATTCTTGTTGCTTGAGATTATTTGAAAGAAACAAAAATAATTATAATTTTTAGTAGTTAGATGTCGAATTGACAATGAATCTAACGATGATTATGAGGGATATAAAATAAAGATTGATAAGAAATAATCAGTTAATCATTTCTTCATGAATAACTAACTATTTAAACTTTAAATCAATAAAATTGTCATCGTACTTTTTGTTAAGAAATTTTAATTCATTTTTAACAAAAGTAATTTCAGCGGAATTATTCGTTCAAATGATAATACCGGAAGAGCAAATATCAGACGCGGATCTTGTAAAATTCGATCAGTTACGACCAATTGTTGAAATATCGGAAAACGCAGCTGTTGGCACTTACATTTATACAGTAAATGTAAAACCACTTCCAGCTAATTTAGTCAGAAATCACCGTGTTGTATATTCATTATCTAAAAGACATCGTGGTTTTGTCATAAATCCCATAACAGGTTATTTCAATTTATGTATTTACAATTATTAAATTGTCGCTTTAAACTATTAGTGAATTAAACTTGGAAGACTTCATTAGTTTGTAGATTAAGGTCGACATATAGTCGAACATATTTCAGAATGCATGAAATTAAGCCAGCAAAAGCAAAATTGTTAAAGATTCAAATTCACTTACTAATCTGCAATAGGTGCTTTTAAACTTAAAATACCCAAATGTAAGGCCCTTTAGCTTCAGGCAATGATGTTACAAACAATATAATTAATTGATATTGTGTGCAGATACGTGTGTCACGTTTGTTGCAGGTGTCATAACAACAGCGTCAAAATTACGTGTTGGAACTGATTATAACCTCACCGTTACTGCCACTGATCCAAACACGCAAGCAACAAGTTCAACATCAATTTTAGTCAAAATCATATCATCAATGAAGCAACGCATTCCTATATTTTCAAGCGATTCATATGTTTTCAACGTTACCGAAAATGCTCCTAACGGTAAAAAAATTTTTTGCTCCAACTATTCCACATATAAGCCTTTTCTGGTTGGAAAATATTTCCAACTTACTGTTACGGGAAATACCAGAGAACGGTGATGGAGGGAGATCTCAGAGGATAATGCATAATGATCTGCAAAATGAATAATCAATCATATTGTAAAAAGGATTGCCAAAGATTCTTTTTAATTTGTAGTGAATATAATATCGAAAGCATAAAAGTGAATTTCATTCTTGTTTTTAAATTAATCTTAATTTCTTTATGATATTTTCATTTATTATTTCGTATAGATTAAGTTGAGTAAAATGTTAAAAAATGAACATATGTTTTTTTTCATACCAAATTGTAAAGATTTTTAGGAACAATTGTTGGTACCATAATTGAATCAACAAATATTACAACAAAAATTAAGTATATGATTGTTGGAAATGGAAAAACTTATTTTGAAATCGACAAAAAGGTATTTCTTTTTAAATAGAAATTTTCAGTAAGCAAATTATTTATTAATTATTAATGAGAAAATATTGTTGAATTTTTAAGGATAATTTAATAAAATTACTACTACAATATTGAAAATATGTCGTAAATATATTTAACATATCAACATAATAATATTATAATATATTCTTAAAAAATTAAAAGAAAATTTATTTACCTTTTTTTTAATTGATAGGGTACAATTCGTACACTTTTACCGCTTGATTACGAGAACAAATCCGTTTTTCATTTAATCGTAAATGCTTCATACGACAATGGACTGTACGTATCATTGCCGGTAATAGCCTTCTTTTTTTACATTTATATCGTTTTCTTTTTTTGAACTTTATGAAATATGAATAAACTTAGAATTGAGAAGTGAAATTTATAATTTCGTAAATTAGATTATTAATTATTATAAGGTAATATTTGGAGTATTTAAGTAAATTAGTAAGTGAAAAATTGTGTTGAAATATTTATGATTGGAACATTGATAAATTAGCTAATAAAAATTGTTTTATTAACTGTTTCATCCCAAATTTCAAAAAATTTTTTATTAATCTATGATAATATGAATATGATGTAATGATTCTGAATTAATAATATGAATATGAATATGATATAATGAACGTAATGTAATATAATGATTTTAATATTGACAGATTTCGATTAATGTATTGGATGAAAATGATGTTAGGCCTCGATTTCCTGAACGATCATATTCAGCAACTGTAATGGAAAATAGTCCAATAAATACATTTATAATTAATGCTCCGGTATATAATGATTAAATTGAATTAATTTGTGAATTTAAATTTTAGTTATTTTAGAAAATTTATTGGAATAGCTATTATGTGACGAAAATTTTGATCTAAATTAGCATACAGGCTTGATTTTTAATAAAATTCAAATTTTTAATTTGAAATCTTCATATTATCAGGCAATTGATGATGATTCAAACGTGGAATATTCATTAATGATGAATAGTGAATCATCAGCTTTATCATCATTATTGCGTGTTGATGAAGATGGTAGCATTCGTAATGTGGTACCATTACTTGGATTAGAAGGAAAATATCAATTTGCTATCATTGCTCGAGATGGTCGACATACCGGTGCATCTGCTGCCGTTTTCCTCACTATTCTGCCAACTTCAAAATGTCAACCAACTTTTCCCGAAAATGTTTCAAATGTTATTTATGTTAATGAGGTAAGTTTGATATTATAATCAATTAATTACTTACATTTCTTTGTGCAAGAAATTTTATCTAATCAATTCATTTGCACAAAAATTTTTGGAGAGTTCTAAATGGTTTATGAAAAATTACGAATGATAAAATAATATTGCCAGAAATTTCAAATTTGAAAGAATGTGATTCCAATATTTTTATTTTATCAAGATCAAAAGGGTTGAAATTTTTAAGGAACTAGTAAGATTGAGTTTAGAAATTTGTTGAAAAGAGTGATTAATTAGATGATTTAAATAATTGCCAACCGTTTTCATTAAGGAAACTGATCTTAATTAAAGTTCTTTTCGATTGTTGTTTATTAATTGGAACAATTGTAGAACGAATTTCCGGGTTCAATATTAGCAAAATTCAAAGGTGAAGTATCAAGTGAAGATTGTCAGATAACTTATGCGATATGGAATGGTATGAAATATGTGGCTGAAACAGAATTATTCATAATTGATGTTTTAACCGGTGAATTAAAAGCTAAAGAAATGTTTGATTGCGAGAAAAATGATCGACATGCTGTAAGTCTTGGATTAATAAAATATACCGGATTATATAGCTGGATCCAGGGATACCTTTAAATTATATCATGGCAATATTTGGTAACATTTGAAGTTGGAAAAATAAGATCTTTGTCTTCTTTGATGTTAAATCGTGCTATTTAGGCCATTCTATTATTTGATTACTATCATTTCCAATTAATGCCAATTTGTTTATGTTTATTTTTGAAGTTATGGGTTTTTCGACTACACTGATAGACTTCTATATGTTTTGAAACTGTTGTAAAATTTTTAGAGTAAAATTTATCAATCAAATTTTAACATTGTTTTTATTACAGCTTGTTATTGCTGCATTTAGCGGTGATCTGTTTGCCGAATTAGAAGTTGAGGTTCGAATTGTTGATCAAAATGATAATCCAATAGAAATTATTGATAATAATGCTTTCTTTAGTATACGTGAGGATGAAAATGTTGGTAAGTTGTTTTGTGTTATATTTTGCATGATATATGTGATAAAGATTTAGATGATAATAATTTATCACTTATGTTGACATCAAAACATTATAAGAAATTATATCTTACATGACTCTATATCTATATCTATTAAATCTTACATGACAGATTTAATTATTTATTAGAAATTCGTCGATAGCAGTAAAAATTACAGAAGTTTCGATAATCTTAGAATTTTATAATTTCAAATTGCTATTGTTAATTAATTAAAATGATGTCATAATTCTTTACAAGCACGTAAATCACGTGTGCTAGTTTTCGCTTTTTGATGTGAATTGATTGTTGGCATTAGTTATGAATTGATTAATAGTTCAAAGTAATATAAGAATGATTTTTAAATCGTGACAACTTTGAACTTAATTTATCTATATATTTTTAGGCCTTCTAATAACCAAAATTCGAGCATTTGATCGAGATATAAATGATAAGGTTTACTTTCATTTGATAAGTGATAATAAAAAATTTACAATTGATCGTATGGATGGTATTTTGAAATTGGCCAATGAATTGGATCGAGAAGAACAAGATTTCTATGAGTAAGCATAATTTATTTAATAAAAATTAATTGTATTATTAAAAATAATTCAAGCAATAATTTTTCTTCTAAACATTTGAAATTTTCAGAATGAATAAAAGCAACAGTATTTTGCATGTTACTTATCTTGAATACCTATTTCAATTTCAGACTTCGTATAATGTTAACCAATTCGGAAGAACCGCCTGATACTGAGGATGATGTGGTATTTGCCACTGTACAAATTATGGTACTAGATGTGTAAGTTTTTATTTGAATTTGAAGTAATATTTATAGAATAAATTTGAAATACTAATCAAATTAATTTTTGCTTTAGAAATGATAATGGACCAATATTTGAAAGTGATGTGTATAAAAAAGCAATTTCACAAGATGCGATAGCAGGGATGGAAATTGTTAAAGTTGTCGCGATGGATCCAGATTTAATTAATGCTTCTTCACCAAGTGAGGCTTTTATATCATATCTGACATTAAATCATAAGGTAATCATAAGTTAATCTATCCTAACTTCATTTCTCATTTCTTTTTTCTTCTTATTCATTTTTATCGAATAAAAATAATAGTGATAATAACTTCTGAAATATCTTCTTCAGAAAAATATCTAATTAGAACTAAATTATGATTTAAATCATATCACTTAAAAGTGTCATATCACAAAAAAACTGTTAAATATATGATCTTCAGTATTACCGTTAAGGTTTTATTTTTTTTGCAAAGAATTTATTCTTTATTTTTCAACATTTGTATGGAGTGGAAAATTTTTTGATTACTCAAGAAGTGCGATCAATTACTAAAGATGAATTATATTCTGATAACTGATTCTCTGATATTTATTTCAGATTCTAATTCAGTGTTCTATCGAATCGATGAAACAATTTATCGTTATGCGGATCAAGTTAAACAAGCAAATGGTTTTGTCAGTATAGATGAGAAATCAGGAATTGTACGTTTGGCACAATCACTGCATCATTCAGCTGGTGGTGTATTTGAATCACGCATCACAAGTGCCGATCTTTCTGATATCGTTTCTCATGTTGCTACCACTAAGTTAAAGGTATATTTTAAATATTTCTTTTCGGCTTCTTTCAACTTCATTTTCGTTTTCTAATTATGATTATTATTTGATTTTTCCTCGTAAAGACGGAGAATATTTTTTTTATTTTGCGTTCAAAATCGAAAATTTTTGCTTAAATTAGCTTTGTAAAATTAGCACTCGGAAACGAATATTTTTAAAATTACATAATCACATTTTCCGTTAAATATTACTTTAGCAAAAATGAATGATTGGGATAGTATATATTATAATTATTTACAAATACATAATTAGAATATATCAAAATAATTTTATTAATTAAATGGATTAAATCAGTCATTCGATACTGTTTTAAAATGATTATTTATCGTTTAAAAATATGATAAAATTATAAATGTGTTTCGGTATGGGTATATGATACATCTCATATCGTACAAATGGATATCGATGAAAGTGCCCAAAATTTGAATGTTAATGAATTAGAAAATTTAACTAAGTTAGTTTAATTCTTTTAATTTTTTTCTTAAAATAAATCAATAAGTTTATTTTAATTGAAATTGAAAGATTCAATTTGTAATTCTTTATAATTCAAAAATATTTTAGGATCATTGGTGAATTGTGTGAGTGTGAAGTGTTGTTATTCAATGTAAAATATATCAGTTCGGATGGCCGTCTACTACGGCAAGCAGTACGAGCTCAGTTTCTATTCATCAATCGAACCAATGATGCACTCCTTTTAGCTGATCGAGCCATATCAATTATCGATAAAAATGCCCTGAATCCAAAAGATGTAATACCAAAATTGAGTGCATTCTCGAAGGTGGGCTTTGAAATTTCTGATTTTAGTAACTATTACCACATTTTATGCAAATTGCAATTTCATTGAAAATGTTTCTGATTATGTGAATTTTAAAAAATTTGCAAATTCCTGTTTTCAAGAATATATTTTAAATGCATTTTTTCTATGACATCCGGTATTTCAAAATATTCCTACACATCGAGTTACGATAATTTTGCTTTTTATGATTATGTGATTCGTGATTTTATCGTATCAAAACTTTATTTACTATTAGAAATGATAATTTTCTAAAAGGATAAACCAATAATATCTCACATTAAATAATTTCAATATTTTAAATTAAAAGACTAAAAAAATTATTTTGGAAAATTTTTTCAGTAAATATGAAAATAAATAAAACTCTAACCATTTCTTCCTATAATTTCTTTTTTAGCATTCAATTGATATAACAAAATTATCTGAAACATTACCGTATGCTCGTTTACGTGAAGCAGCTCTCTTCTTGGCAATCTTTACTTTTTTACTTATTTCTATACTAATTATATTTGCTATGATTCTATGCTATCATCGTTCAAAGTAAGTTTCTTTTTTTTTAATTTTAATTTTTGCATGAATAAATTTTGCAATAAGTTTTGAAATTATTGATCACATTTTTTCTTCTCATACCCAAAACCATAAAGGTTGTCTCGGAAGTAGTTGAAAATTGACATTCAATATTTGATATATTGGAAATTTGATACATTCATTTTAATCAATATCTTATATTGTTATGAGAATTATCAAGAACACCTGAACATATCTTCATTCTAACACAGCTTTTGCAATGACGTAGGTTGAAAATTTCGTAGCTATACAATTTAAATCCATTAACTAATCAAGCTATTAGTGATTGGTACTATCTTATGTCAATGCACTGATAAGCAGTATTATCTTCTACAGCATATCATATATCGAATTTCAGTCCTTCCGGATGTATTCTTTTATCATAACAAACTAATCGTGTTAATCTTTTCGTCAGTAAATTATTAAAATTTTAAAATTAATTAGAAAATTACAATTTTGCTTTTTTTAATTATCATTATGATAATGCTACTTACTTTTTTATGCTATATTTTAAATTTTTATTTAATCATTTAGTTGATTGATTTATTTGATTGTTATGAAGTTCTTATCATTATTTCTCATCCCTGTAATAATCAATTTCACGATTGATCAATACCTAATATTGAAATACATCAGTTATTGTAGATTTTTACGTGAGAAGAAAATGTATGAAGATGAAAAGATAGCGGCAGGATCAATGAATAAAATTAATCGTTACAAACAACCATTAGCATATGTAAAATCGGTTCAACATAATTTAAGGTAAGCATTGTTTTCTTTAAAACAATTAAAAATAATTTTCTGTTTTCAAACTTTTTGAAGAAGAAATTTAAGAAGATTACTTAACCTTTCAACATTTCCAATTCTATTATTTACTCTTTTGAAAATTTTAAAATGTAAATAAATGAATTATTTTGATTACTATGATAATATAACGTTTATTCTAAATATCTGTTAATTAATTTGATATAATTAAGATACTTTATATTTCGCTCCCTTTATCTTTTGAAAAATTTTCGTTTCAATTTTCTTAATGAAAAAATTTCTTATATTCGAAAAAAATACACTATTCAGGGAAAGATATCCGAATGCAACAGATGAGAATATCTATACCATTCAGGAAATCAAAATGTTGATAGGTTTGGATGATACAACGAAACGGGTACGCTATGCTAATAGTGATTGAGTGATAAAAATTTGCTGTTATCAATTTAAAAAATAAAAATTCAAAAGTCTATCAAAATTTTTATAAAATTTAAAGAATCGAATGCTAATAACTGGATAATATCTCAACAAAATTATTATTAAGCTAAAAATTAAATCATATAGAATAGCTGATATTGAAGTGATAGAATTAAAAGAGAAAGATCATATTGGAGTCAAATAGATAATGAACTGTGATACTTTGTATTGGCATAGATATTATATCTAATTGATATCGAAATTATCGTATGATAAATTTGAATAAAAAACAAACTTATTTTAATGAAAAAATGAAATGTTATCTTTTTTCGACATTTCCTTAATTCCAATGGTTGATCATTTTAATGTATTAAATTCAATTAAACATGATAAATTGTATTATAATAATATATTTTTTATATGACTACACTTATTTGGTAATTATAGCATTAGAAATGAAATTAATTTTGCTTATCTTTTATCATTATCATATCTCTAAAAGATATTATTGATGTGATTAAGTGAAAAGTAGCATCATGAGGTAAAATATCTAAAAGTAATAATATTCACATTTTATGAATTATGTGCTTTCAATTGCCACTGATATTTTTAGTATGTACTTCCATGATATCTAGTTCTTTTTTCCCTTTCTCTTTCAAAGTAATTGGGAAAATAAAATTTAATTGATTTAAAATGTGAGAAGACAGTTTAGGATGATCAAAAACGGTAAAAGCTATTTCTGATTCAGTTTCAGTTTCCGTTTCATATTTATGGTTATTTATTGATGAAAAACATCAGATGGATAAGCACCTTTGATTAGCTAATATTATAATCTTTTGACAATTTTTAAATACCGACATTAATTGTAAAGTTCAGTAAGTTTATTGAATGGCACCTAAGAATTGTTTAATAAATCATTTCACATGTGGAAAACATCTGCCTCTAAGAAATGGCATCTTAGAATTATTCGATAAATCATCATTTCACATACGGTAACCATCGTCATATTTCTACTTCAATTCTTTCATTCTTGAATTCCTCTAATTATTTCACCCCTCATCTTAGCATACTAATTTGTCACAGTGCTATTAATTAGGATCTGTCGTTAAACAATAAATTCTTATAAGATTTTAAAAATCAAATCAATTTTGGAAAAGTAAATGTGCCCTTTATATAATTTCAAATTTCAACGAACTAATTAATTGATAAGTTTGATATAATTGTTGGAAATAATAAATTAATTTAATTAGTATTAAGTATTTGTTAATCATTTTGGATTCATTATTATGTTTCGTTTTTTCCTTTTTCTTGGTTGTTTTGCTTTTTACCACTTTTTCAGCAAACATATGCTTTTTAATATTATTTATGAATTTTTAAAGGTTTGTTTTATTCCTTCATTATGTCAAAGGAAAAAGAAACTTATCTGTATCTCCTTATCACTGTTATCATTATTCTTACCTGTATCTCCTTATCACAGTTTTTCTTTTTTCTTAATTTCTTTTCACTTTAATTTTTTCAGCACTTTTTCTCTCTTGCTTCTCTTTTTCTGTTGTATATATTTTTTCTACCCAATCAACTATTGCTCTTTCGGAAACCAGTTCTTTTCACATTTTCATTTAAATTAATCTGTATTCAGATTCCGAGAATTGGTTTGGTTCTTTGCAAGGAGTAGAGTAAAGGTAGTTTCCATTAATTAGTCCTGTATGAATGAATTCCTCGTCAATATACGGTAACTAAACAACTGTTATGAATGATTGACTTCTACAATAATCCAAAAAATTACTGAACAGCTAATTAACAACTTATCAAAGAAGCAGTAATCAGTAACTCACCATTATTAACAAACAGATATCGATATATTCTTTATTCAGATAAATTTATTTCTTTGCTTTTCCTCATCCCCTACCTTCCATTTTTATTCATTTATCGAGGAAGCAGTGTCAGGCATAAACCGGTAAAGGTAAGATAGGTAGTGAAAAACACATGATGACTTTTTGAAAGAAGCAAAAAAGAATTGAAATGACCCACAACATTATCACTATCGCCACCGCCATCGATAGATTCATCAAGACAAGGTTATCGTCGGCGATTAAAACCTTGAACCTCCATCCCTTCCGCAGAATAAAACTCGTCAGTGAGGTGTTATACAACAAGGGAAGTATATACTGATGATCGAGAAGCTTTGTCACTATGAAATCAAAATATTTTCAATTTAATAGTAAGGCAAAAACATAATATAATGGAAGAATTTCACTGCTTTTAGAACTATAATTTTTTTCATCGCTTCCTTTCGACATGTAAAGTGGAAAACAATGCGTGGGAGTGTCAGCACTGGGCAACTTTTCCAATAAGTGTAAGATGCGAAACACAAAAGTAATAAATATTTTTTCCACGAAGTTCTTCGCATGAACTCCGACAAAACACAGTAAAAACCAATGGCACAGCATTAAAAAATGTAATAAAACAACAAAAGAAAGCAATTACGGAATAAAAAAAATACATAATTGCCTTGACATTTGAGGACTACTCACTATTACTGCACATTTAATAAGCAATCACCAATTGTAAATCTGAGTGACGTCAAATAATTTTCGGCAACACTCCGAATAGTTTCACTCATTTCCGAATCGTCTGGTGCAATTTTCTTAAGTGATGCTCTCCAGTGCGGCAGAACCGACCTATCAATTAGGATTATCAGCTTCTCCATTTGTTTACCATAGACTTTATGCATCAAAGTCCAATGCTGCTATAAAAATTTAAATTATTAAATCTAGAAGAAAAAAATCAAAACCGTACTTCAAAAGTTTTAAAAAATTATTCATTCAACATTCAGTTTAATCAAATTGAACATGTGTTTTGAGATTAAAAAACTCTTCATATTTCAGCAAAATGTTTGAAATTTCAGAGAGAGAGAGAGAGAGATCTTTTTCTCTTCATTTTGTTATGACCACAGTAGTGGGTAAGATAAGAAGTAATGTTCTCAATAAAAAAGTGAATACAGAAATCATTTAAATCAAAACGTTCTCTATTCTTTTCATATTTCAAGAAAAATTTCAATCTCCCACCTCCACAATTACAGACATATTGATAACAAACTTAATTAAACAGTACCCTTAGAATTTCTGTTATCAATGTAGCACCGAAGGCCGAATTCTCAGCAGCTGTTACAGCGATCATTTTCCACATCAAACCTAAACCATGATTTCTTGGTGTTGTTTGAAGGCCGACATTTTCACTCGACATCGCCAAAGTAATGAATAAATTTATGATAGCGACTTCACGACTGTGCCATGCTACCATAGTTTCAGCAAATCTCTCTGAACGCTCTTTTAAATCCAGAATACATTTTAAGCTAAAAAAAAGGAATATTAAAACAGTTTAGTGGGAAGGACAATTAAGAAGAAATAAAGCAATAATACCAACCGTTTAAATTCATTTAAAAAATTGTCATGAGGATGACCCATATAACATGCAATTTCATGATGACATGCAATTTATTTCTTGCCAACAAATCTCATTAGGATACATTTGGCCTATCCTATCTACACAAATACTTTGATTTCTTAAGTAATTCTAAATAACAAACTTATCCATGAGGTAAAAAAATACGGAAAAATAACAAGTGTACCATTCATTATGATTGACTGCCAAAAGAGGTGAGGCGATAAACAACTTTCCATAGAGAAGTTTCGAAAAAGTTACTGAAGACAAAGCCAGCGACGAAAGAACAGCAGCCACCACTTTTAAGAGACTTACATCTTGTGGAACAAGATCCTGGAAATACAGAATTATAAGATAAATATAAAAGAATCAGAAGCGTATAAAGATAACAAAAGTGTGATATAATAGATCACGTAACAATCATCAGAATATCATATAAATCAATTTTTATAATATCTTTCATAAATCTAAAATATTTTGCATTTCAAAAACCTAAAAGTCACAACCAAGTTCCTTTTATAAACAAAACCAATCTTATGTCGTCTGACTAAAAAGATCATAGATCTATTTAAAATTCAAAATGTAATTTCGGGAAAAATGCACAGATATTCAAATTAAATGACAAAAATTCGCAATAAATAATTTGGAATCACCTGACATAGGTGAAAAGTTCATGAAAAATAAAGAGAAAGTCAATAAATTACCATATATGTGTTGATGATATGAACCATGGCCCAATTACGAGCCGATTCGTCATCTTTTAAGTTGAACATTTTGTCATTAAAACCATAAACTGTCAAACCATTGAGTAAATTGCTAAAGAAACGAACAATTTGAGCAATATCACTTCGTTTTGCAAATTTCTTTGTTGATACCGAAATCTTCTCCTTTATCGTACATTTAAGTTCATTCTACAAAAATTCATATATTAAAATGTTATATATTTGCCCATGATTTTTGCGAATGCACATTAATTCTTAACAATATCTTGAAGCATACTCTAGGTATCCCTATACAACATAGAAAAAACTGAATCAGCATTTAAATTATAGTATCCTCTATGAAATGGCAGGAAGAATGACCAGTGGTAACTGCCGTTTCATATTTCAAAATACCACGCCGAAATACTCAATCCAGCCCAAATTCAACCAAATTTCACACCACTGCAGTACTTAACTTACAAACTCAATCTGCTCAACTTTTGGAAGTTCTTGCGAGTTAATTTTCCCACCTACATAAAGAAACCATGTTGAATCAATATAGTATACATAATAAATAAATTCACTCACTCTAATATTAAAGTCAGTGAATAACGAGAGATACAACAAGTAATACCTTGCAAAGTTTCGAAAATTTCGGAAAAAACTTATATAGCAAAAAATTACTTTAATAGAATCAGATATATTAGCCATAAAAGTTCTTGCGAAAGCTATTTCACATCCATAAATCTGATGGCACTGATTGGAATTTTTAATGTCTGGATCATTCGACATTTTACTGTTTACAGTTAAAGATTCTGACGAAGATTGAGCTAACGATTCATTTTCTTTAGCCACAGCAGTGATAGTTGTTTCGTTTGACAGAGCTAAACAGAATAAAACCAGTCATTTCAAGATTTCAGCGTTTCCATGAAATAGCTTTATGGAAAAGTTCAAATAAATTCATAATATAAAAAACGTGAACATTATTTTATGATAATAATAAAGAAAACTTACACTGTTCCTCTTCAACAATCTGTTGTAAAGGCGATGAAGTACTCCCTGAAGCTGACGGTCTGAATGAGGGAACAGAATCCGTTCTCATAAGTGCTGCATGGCCACCTTTTAATGTTTCTAGAGAGGAGGTAGGTGTGCTGGTATTCTGTGGACAAAAAGCAAATGTAGAAATATCAGACTGCTGCTGAATTTTGGGTGTTGAGTATGATGTCGAAGGTGATGCCGAAGCAACAGGAAACGATGCAGTGATCTTTGGAGTTACTTGATCAACAATGGAAGGAACTGAACTGGTAGTTGGTATCAGAGTGGTAGCGGTTATTAAAGACGACACTGAAAACATATTCGATGTCGCTCTATCGTTGGTAGCTATTGATCTTAAGAAAGGGACCGAGGTAAAAGCTTCTGTTGGTAGTTGGGATTTTGGTGCAGTGAAAATCGATTTTGCTAATGGTGTAGGTTTAGACATGGAATGTGGTATTGAACTATTGACATTTGTTAGCGGACCAGAAACAGATTTCGATTCGGGAACATAAATTTTTCTAAAATAAGTAAAACGATAATTAAGAAATGTTGAAATTTTCTTGAAGTGCGACGCAGTCCATATTATTATATACATTTAATCAAATTTAAATTACCTCGTATTTTGAAATTATTATTTATCTACTTTGAAATGAACTAGAGAATCCTGCCTTGTTTAACAAATCATTTAATTTTTCACTGGTCGCATTTTTCTGTCTAATTGGAGAGATTAACAACTAAAAAAAGTTTCTGAAGACTTACCCTAGTCTTTTCATGAACGATTCTTCTAGCTCCTTCTTCTGTTGTGCAAGAAATAATTCTAATACTAACCGTTCTCGAGGCTGAAATGAACATACCATGACGGTTTTAAAATAAATTTTAATCTTACTGATTTTATGAAACTTAGCTTGTTAAGAATCTATATTTCATTCTTATTTATCTTCAAAATTATGTCAGCAAGAGTTTAACAGACGTCACATAACTAGCAGGAAGATGATCGAAATTACCATTCCTTTCGCAGTTTCGATTCGAAGGAGCTAAACAACTTATTTTCCTACCAAGAAATTGCAAAAAGAGTTGTATTTCCGCAGTGAAAAATATTTTCCATTGCTAACTTTTAGAAATAGGGCGATACCCGGAAACCAACCTTCGGCTGAAACTTCGCCATATGTTGTTTTAACTTTTTGTCAAAGTCATGCAAGACTTTTTCACGTATCGCTTGACGGAGTTCTCTCTGTTCTTCCACTTTTGCTTCCAAAAATGTTCGTTGTTGACGTTGTATTTTCTCAACAAATGGCTTTGCCGACTCATATCTTCCATGGAGGACATTTGCACCTGGTGACGTGATAAGCCATGATGGATCGTTTTCATCATATTCACTAAAAAAGGGTAAAGTTACAATAATAAGTTTATAAGAAATTGTGAGAAAGGGTTCTATTTTTTTTAGTAGCTTTTCATCCAATGCTGAGGGTTATAATACGTATTGGTCGCAAAAAATCAATAAAGGGGTGAATTTATTGATCAACGATTTTTTGCTAAGTTTCTAACCAATCAATGTGCGCATAGATTTTCTCGTCAGTGCACTACCATAGATACAAGAAGAATTAAAGAAATACGTTAAAATTTCTCAAATTATAACATCCACTATTAAACGGTAAATAAAACCTATGCTGGACACAATGGGCTCATGAAGTTAACCTGCGGGATATATAAAAAGTTCCCTGCCTTATAGATTTCAATTTTCAAACCATTACAGAGTTTAGAATATTGGATTTGCTTCAAAATTACAATTCAAGCTTAATGTAGAAGTACACCTATCCTGTATCAATTTAACATTATCCTATATCAGAAAGAATCATCATTCTGATTCATTTTAATCTACCTCAAATATAGGAGCATAACATTTTTATACCACTAGAGCATTAACATTAAAAAAATCATCATCTGGAAACTCACAGTTCTTCTTCCGATATTCCGAAATGGTTGGTATGGAAACCGAAACGGCTTGACATAACCGCCTAACGTCTTGTTTTGAAATATCTCTAAAACTGCATCAAATCAAAAAGAAAAATAATATCAAATTTCTAACACTCTCATCGTCGGGAAGCAAAAAGGAATCAAAGATTGTAAAAAGACATTTTAATTAACACAAGGAAAAGAAACAACACAAATGTAACACAAACCGTGAAAAAAGATAAAGTCCGAATGCAAAATGTTAATTCCAGGAATTTAAAGCAAATATTCACTGATGACTTACTCCATGAAATAGTGGATGTGTGGAAATTTCGTATTTGAGCCATAATTATTATTAAACGGAAAATTTGGATTTCTTTACTATTCGTATGTGTCGTATACATCCATGTATTTACCTGTAATTTTCTACCGCTAAAATTAGTGTTTATTTATTTTATTTCTGTTTGTGATGTTTGTTTACTACATGAAATTAACGATTTTATTATGGGAAAACTCAGTGATTCATTTTTATTGCCAAAAATTTGATAGCTCATAGATCAAACTTTTTTACGTTACAGAAGATATGTGTGTTATTATATTTTTCACTCTTAGTTACATCTTACTCAATTAACGTAGGCAACACTTTTGCAAATTTCTGTTCCTGCATTAGTACGTTAAACTATTAATTAAATATATCAGATATTTGAGATTTATTTATATTTAATTAACAATTTACATCAATTATCTTTTATGAGAATGTATCTTCGTTGCATTTGAAAGCAGAAAAATTTCTTTTCCTGCCAGCTCTATAAATAATTCGTTAGCGATGATAATTATAGTCGCTTTTTAATGGCTTTTTTATTTTTGCCAACTTTCTAATATAATGAAACTTTCATCAGTTTTGGTTTTTCGCTTGTTGTCTTGTAAAATACTGCCATTTAATATCATCGCATTGTAAACAATTCTGTTTCATTTTAAAATTATTTCATCACAAATTTATCATTGTTAATTATATTTTATTTATTCTTCAAATAACTAAACTTTTTGGAAAGAAAAAATTGACAACAATTTTTTATAATTATTTCTCGTACAAATCTAAAAGTTTCAAATAAATAATTATATTAACAGCGATAATTTCTTGCAATAAAATTGATACCATTTATCTCTTATCAAAAAGATTTATTTTTTTCACAAGGAATGCGTCTTTGTTGCACTTTAAAAGTAAAAGAATTTCTTTATATAGTAATTAAGCTTATAATTTTATGCTAACAGATAATAATAAGAATGGTTAATATATATTAGTGCGTTATGAGTTGTTTATTTAATTATTACATATTTAATTTGAATGAATTAATTTTGGCAATCAGTTGGAAAAAATAAAAAATAACATTTGATTGCATATTATAATACAAGCATTGGTATTGATTGATCAACATATTGATTGATTTTTTTCATTGATTTTACTTATCGTCAATTTTTTCTTTCAAAACTGAAAATTCTTAAATTTTTGCCAAATCTTTTTATTTTCAGATTTTCTCATCGAAGTGAGTCACCACTAGCTATACACAGAAATTTAAGCGGAAACGGAAAAGTGGAATATTTCTCCTTATTCAAGATCAAGTACTCGTTGAACTCTTTCCGCATCTGAATTATTTGCTGAGTTATCTCGATGAGGTTAACTATTGCTAATTTAGGTAAATTTTTTTCAAAAATTTCTTTTTCTTATTTATTTTTAGCAAATGTCGAAGGCTTCAGAAAGACTTGAGATATGTTGCATAGGGTTTTCGGCTAGGTGCAAAAATTTTTAAATTTGGCCTTAAAGTTGAATTATTTAATCAATAATTCTTATGATGCATTAAAAATACAGTGCGATTGTTCTAAAATTATCCGGATTCTCCGGTCACTGGATTTACAATATATCTTTCTGCGAAAGAACAATTGAATGTTGAACCGACAAGATCTTTTTGAAGGAGGCTTAAAGTGCTTACTAATAAATCACACTTCTCTAGTTATAATTAATTAGTTCAGTTTTACTCAATTTTTAATTTAATCTCATCTCTATCCATTCTAACTACATGATCTTATCTGCTCAATATACCGCAAATAATTTTTTGTATGAAAAGTTTTGTCATTTACAGCTGTCTCAAATTATAAGGTGGTCATAATTGGTGGTGGTACAGGTGGTTGCTCATTATCTAATTGGTGTCATAAATTGGTACCCAAAGGACAAGTAGTCGTCGTTGATCCAGCTGATGTTTGACATTTATTGAATTGATAATATTTCAAGATATCTGTGGATTAAGTTTGTCACAAGCTTATAATTTATTGTTTAATCATATAATTATTTAATTGAGACGTGGTGCATATAATCCCAGGTGCTCTGAATAAAATCGGTAACGTACTGCTACGTATTAAAGCACGATGAGTAAGTAATTCAAACTTCATTGCATAAACGATTTAATGCACCTAAAGCAGCTAATCTTCTTTGGAAGCTGTTATCAATTTCCATGAAAAGACTGAATAGATATCGTCTCTAAAGTTTTAAAATTTTATACTTTATTCGAAACCTCAGAAAACTTATCCAGCAAAAATGTGATCAAACAAAAAATCGAATATTTTTTACAGGAGCACCACTTCCAGCCAGGATATACATTTGTTGGTGGAGGCCTGTGCAAATTGCAGCAATGTATTAAGCCAATGAAGAAAGTTTTGCATCCTGATAATGTTTGGATTAAACAAGCAGCCAGGAAAATCAATCCTACAGAAAATTCTGTGATACTGAAGTAAGTGAGAATAAGGGTCAGCTTTTTGAGCTACTCTTTTTTTAGCTATAGAATGAAGAAGAAGAGGGCAGGAGAAAGAAAGAAAACGAACAAGAGAAGAATAACAAAATAATGCTGCATGTTGCGTTTGCAATGTTTACTTTTATTAATTTCGGAGGAAGTTTTAAAAAATATTTTTCAATTATAACTAATGCAGATTTCAACAAGTACTGATTTTATACAAATTTTTTGAACAAATTTTTTATTTTAAAAGGTGCAAAAATTTTTTTAGTGATGGAACAAAGATTAACTACGAATTATTAATAGTTGCCGCAGGGCTTGAAGTTCGATTTGACATGGTATTATATTTTTTCAATATTATTGTTTTGTTGAAGGAGAGAAAGAAAGGAAATTTTAGGCTCGGAAAAGTCACGAATTCGCAACAGAATAAAATAATTCTTTTTTCTTTTTTAACAGAGCCATATACATTTTTGATATGTCAGTGTTGTGTTACTTTCTGTTGATTTCAGTTTAGATGTGACAAAAAAGATCCTTTGTTCGTTGTGAAGAGAACTGTTATTGTTATATACCTTGGCTTACATGCATCTTGGATGACTAGTAATCTTTGATAATCGCTAATCAGTATAATATCATTTGATCCCACTAATTTTAGGTTGAAAATTTACCGCAAGCTTTGTTGGATCCAAATATATGCAGCATTTATCGTGCTGATTTGGCACAAAAAACGCATGAATGTTTATATGCATTTAGCAAAGGAACAGCTATATTTACTCTACCAAATGCGCCAATTAAATGTTCCGGTGCCGCACAAAAGATATGTTACTTGGCGGATGAGATATTCCGGAAGGTATACCCGACATTGTTTTTTACAGGAGATTTCAAAAGCATCTTGAAATGAGTGTCATTAATCTCTGAAATTGTAATATTTTTTTCAAGATAGCATCAAATCACTTTTCAAATATTATTGCTGACATCTAAGGCATTAATTTGTTAAACGAAACATATTTTGTGTAAAAAATTTATGCAATTATCAAATTTTTACTATTTTTTAAAAATATTGTAATTTCTTGTAATTTCTCTTTGATTGATATAAAGTTGACGCAGCTGAATGGTATCTGAAATAATCAATAATAACTCTTGTGAAGTTTAGTTGTGACAGCAATTCCCAAAACGATAACAGTGATATGTTAGGCATTGATTAGGAACGTTGGTAAAGCTTATCACAATTAATACGTTGAATTGATTTTGTCATATTTCGAATTTTTTTTTTAGTAGCAATCTTTTCAGAGAGATATTCGTGAAAAAATACATATAACGTACAATACGTTTTCATCTGATATATTCGACGTGCCAAAGTATGCAGAAGCATTAAATGAAATTGTTAAAAAGAAATCGATTGAACTGAAATTATTCAGAAATTTGAAAGCAGTTAATATCTCAAAACGCGAAGCTATATTTGAGCTTATGGGTATGGATAACAAACCAACAGGGGAATTAGAAATTCAAAAGGTATATTTTTTTCCAAATTTTAATGAAAATAAAATTAAGAAACCTCGATATCAGTACTTCATCCATCCTGTGAATTCGAATATCGTTTATAAACTTGCAGTTAGTATTATTAACCTAGATATAAATATGGTAAACAGATTTTCTGGAATCCAAAAAATAATTACATCTTCTACGTTTTGGCTTCACCGCTTTGGTTTTATCAAATTCATCTTTTCAATGAAAAAACTATACTAAATTACAACGATAGAATCTTTCTTGTGCTTAAAATAATTAGATTATTTCGCTGAAACTTCTGTACTTTTGCAGTTCGATTTCTTGCATGTAGCACCACCTTGTTCAGCACCACAAGTTTTGCGAAATTCGCCAGAAATAACCAATGCTAACAGTTTCTTGGATATAAATCCGAAATTACTACAACATACGAAGTTTGCGAATATTTTTGGCATTGGTGATTGTCTCGGATCACCAAATAAGAAAACTGCTGCTGCTTTGTGTTAGTTTCGGCTATTATCTTCACTGAGAAGTTTATTGATATAATTCCGAAATTTGATTATATTTTGTTTTGTTCAGTAAAAAGTGTTAGAATTTTAAATGAATAACTTTCAGTTAGCCAAATGAGAACTTTGAGTAAAAATATTCCGAGATTTTTCGAAAAGAAGCCATTATTGGAAACGGTAATTTTTTTATTTCCAATATTATTTATAATTTTAGAATTGTTGTATTCGCGTTTCGATTCGCTTCAATTTGATAACAGTAATCTATAATACTGCACGAATGGTAGGTAGCCCATGACGAAAAAACCAGCAAATGTTAGGCTAATCATTCAGAAGGCTAGTAAGATGAGTTGAAAAGGATGTACACATAATGCCATTCAGTATTTAATATTTAAATTTTGATATTTTTTCCATTTTTAAATCATTTTCAGTATAATTGCTATTCATCATGTCCAATAATTGTCAGTTTTCGGCATGTGGTACTTGCGGAATTCACCTCTGAGGGACCTCACGAAACATTGCCCGTAAATCAAGCAAAACCACGCTTTATTTCATTTTTACTTACAAGATACATATTCCCATTGATCTACTGGAAATTAGGCTTGAAAGGACATTGGCTAGGGCCACTCACTGTACGCAAAATTCTTCATCTTGGAGCAAGCAAGGAATAATTTCGATTTACATCAAGTGATTTTATTGAAGCTCACGAGGATTTCAAAAAGAAGTCTGGATGGAATTGGATTCGTAATGCTTCTATTTTTCAATCATTGACAACAAAATGCTTGCACCTGCTTTTTTTTGAGAAATGTCCTTATATAAAATTATGTGAATAGGAATATTTGAAACTATTCTTGAATTACATAACCTTAATTTGAACCATCTTCAATTATATTGAGATATTTCAGAATTATTGATTAATTGAAGTTATTTCAAATTTGTTGAATATTTGAACTACATTAGATATATGTTCCAAATATCTCATTATAAAAATGCACTGCTCCGGTTAAAGCGCTCCGTTTGTACATCATTTCTTGCCGTTTACATAAACACAAAATTGTACTTATGATAAATATATATAAAGCAATTTAACTTAAATCAAAAAATTTTGCATGGATTTCCGGCAAAAAGGATGTGTTATAATTAAATTTTTTTTCATTTTCACAGATTTTTTGATAATAGAAATTTAGCTTAATAATTTCAAATAATGCTTTGAATTGAAAAAGTAAAATTCAGTTGCCAGCCTTCATTCTAACATTTTTTCTGAATGGATGGAATTTATTAATGAATAGCGTGGAAAGGCTTTGTATTGTAACATTTCCAATATATTATTATACTCACAGTAAATAAATATTTTATTCATTGATTGCCACATAATATATAATTACTGTCACCGCGGTGACTTCTACTGCTTTGGCGAGCTTTATTGAACCGATTGAACTGATACAATATACTTATGCTTGTAAGATACAGCGATCAATTTTATTGCTTTATATAAATGATTTTACTCCTAACTTTTCTAATTTGGGGTATTTTCCTAATTCTGTCAATGCAATAAAACGAATATCGCAGGCTACACAACGTATACAACCGTTCCGATATTGTTGATCTTTACTGCTGCATTATTTAATATTATCCTAATAGTTATACGTTGTTGTTATGTTGAAAAAGTCTGGATAAAAAAAAATTTGTAATTTTTAAAATGGACATGTTTATTATTTATGTCATTCATTTGTTTTCAGCTTTTTGCCAAATGAAATGGTCTCGAAATATAGCTAGCGCATTATTTTTATTCTTTAAAAAACTCCAAACGTAAGTGTCATATATCATTGCTTAAGTTAGTACATGAATCATAAAAAGCGATTTAACAAATATAGTGCCGTGATCCACACTCTTAAAAGTTCGGTCTTACATCGTATATCTGCTTGCAACTATCTCAAAATCAAAACAATCTATCATAGCAACTAAAATGATAAGTCAGTTTAAGAAACAATGCTCATACTTCCGGCATATTTTCCCTTGTTCTAAGTTTTTTGCTGAAAACATGGGAATTCCAGAAAACTAACATTTTACTTCAGCAATATTAACAAACATAAAAAATCAAAATTGGCAAAATTATCTGTCAAGATTGGCGGATCGAACAGCTGCTGCCATTTATTTTAACGAAGGTAGCTAAAATTATTCGTTGACGATACAGCACCAAAGAAATTGGGTTGTGATTGTCGGTTCATAGCTCGAGATGGTGCAAATCCAAGCATTTTTTGTAAATTTTGTCTTAGTGTCATGGTACAAAGTATATACAGGAAGATGAATGAACAATCCGTATAATCATCACCAATGAGATTCCTGAATTATAGAGTCTAAGCATAAAAAAATCCTTTACTGCTCATAAAATATATAGCAACAATAACGGTTGTGCATTACAGTTTCTACTAAATTAATATATTTCAATCTCTCAGTAAAAAAGCATATATAATCAATAGTTCCACAGTGTGACATCAGTGCAAGTTCGAGATATTTGTTGCAGGAATACTATTTCCCTACCTTATCTTGAACTAGTTTCTTCTCTTTAATATGTATTTCATAGATACGTTACCCATTAAAAATCATTGTTTTTCTTTTTCTTGGATTCAGTAATATATTTATTAATATTTACTGTTACGGGTCATGTATAAAACTCACTGCATGCAGCATGAAACAAAAATCATACCTATGTGAAAACCCCTGAATCCATGATATCGGAGTGAAGGGCAATTTGGCGACCACCCGTCCTTCGAATATCGAGGAAAATGTGGATAGTAAGGCAGTAAAAGCGAAACCAATTGCAAGCATACTTTTCATCTTGAATATGCTCATATCTCGATTTGTCGCTTTTAACCTCTCCTCTTCTCTATCAATTTTTCGCCTTGCTGTACGGTCTACTTCAGCGGTTGTCTCTTTCTAGAAGAGTTTTCAAAATGATTGAGAAATCAATAACAGGGTGCGCCTATAGTTTTTAAACTATTAATAAATATGTAATAATGCCAAAAATATTCAACGTTGAGATCGAAATCTACTGCTCGTGCATCATAAAATATTGGGTTTGTTGTAATATGAAGGCAACATTGTCTAATAAAGTAATTAATTATCTCACCGCTTAAACTGTCTAAAGCTCCAAACCTTTTTGGAGTTAAAATAAAATAACTCAGTCTTTTCATGCATTTTGCTCACTATCAATTTAAGAATTCTCATCCACGTCCTAAAAATCATGTGACATTTTGTCATGTAATAATACAAATTATGGGGCAATGTTTTGCATCAAAAGCAGTTAACAGTATTACTAATATCACATTTCAGAAACAGATGATATTCTTTATTTCTATGATGTTATGTTAGAAACTTAAATTAAACTGTTAACTCATCCCAATAAAGGATTGAATAACTTTGTTCTCGGCTAAAAAATCGCACCCACCGAAACAAACCTTTCGTTCGAGTTTCTTAGTTTTCCGTTCCATTTCATTTTTTAAACGTTTGTACTGTTCACTACGATATACCAGTATATAAGTTAATGCTTCACCGATTATAGCAGTACATGTTGCGATAAATATGATCAACAAATAATCCGAGTACATTACTCACGAGAACTTCCGAACATTTACTTCTATAAATCAAAAAACAGAAACGTATTATGTATCACAGTTAATTTATCCAAACAAATGGCTAAGATGACTTCAACTCTCCCAGAAACATAAAATTATTCTAGCCCAAAACTGACATATTTTTAACTCTACGCTTACTTGCTAAAGTGAAATGCAAAAAGGGAATAACTCTTTCACCACTTAGATCTCGCATATTTTCCCAAAATGAATTCTTACAATTTAGAAGACACAATTCAAAAATTAAATCAACCTGTTTCTTAATCAGATCACACGAAAACGTCATGCACACTATTCCCATATTATTCAACAAGATAATGATTTTTTGCTAAGTACGTAAGTAATCAGCGAGCAGTATCCTAAGACTTTCAGGTATTAAAACCTATTTTGTTTATAATAGTATGTTATATACTGATAAAAAGCGGTTTCATTACCGAAAAGATGACTGATGCGGTTGTTCTTTATTACTTTTATTAAACAATAACAATAATCATTTTATAATAAAACGGATAACAGCAAATAACCAACAATCATCAGATTCCATTGAATCTTATCACAGAAATGGTTCAATAGTGATATCCATAATGGAAATAGGTAATACAAGTCCATAAGCAGTTATCACATCTGGATGTAGGACACCAACTCGACCCAGGGAAATCCCAGCCGGTCCAATGATTTCTGCACATCGTCCATCCAAATAAGTGGGATCTGAAAATATTATTCCTAAATAACGTTTATTTTTTTCCTCCTCATTTATTTTCCCAGCAAATTTTCTTAATACCATGAGATACATTCATAACCGAGTGGCTCTCATTCGCTATCCTTTCTGTAAAATCTCTTGAAATAATTTCCAGTAAATTTCGGAACAAAATAAAAAAGTTATAATCGCTAATATCAGTTTCTACCGTCACAAGCCACAATATAATATCCTGTTCCATCCCTGGTCCATTTTACTCCAAGAAGCTGCATAACTCGATTTAGTAAGCCGTGTATAATCTCAAAACCTGATGATTTACTGCAATATAAAGCACATAAGCGACGCTCATTTCTTGCTCCTACGTCTGTAAGGAAAATGATTGTAAATTCAGAAATAGAAATTCTTAATCTTGAAAATTGAAATTGCTTACGCACAGTTTAAAGAAACAAAATATTGCGACTATATTTTGAAGTTAACCTGCAGATGAATCTTTCAAAATCACATCTTGAATCTCAAACAATCGAAGAGGTAATGGCATATCCTTATTAGAAGCAAGTGTTTTTAATAAACCAGGAAGTAACGACGTCCTGGCTACCTAGAAAAATTTCCGCATTCATTACATAATTCACATCAGTTATAGAATGTCATCTATATCATTGCCATAATTGGAATGAAAAATTCATAAATCTAAAACTTTTGAATTGTAAATTAAAACCAAATGAAGACCTTAAAAAATTTTGTTAAAATTTTTTGTGTGTGTCATAACCTGAAATTCAGACGTTTTGGGATTCGATATTTTAACGGTATGCTCGAGATTATCCGGTTTTCTTAACTTCACTGATGTATCATCACGGCTACACTGAAATCACGCAATGTAATGACTTATCACATGTGAAAGTTTCAGCCAAGAAAAAACTAGATCCTAAGAAGTTATTGCAACATCAATTTCAACTAACCAAAGCAAAGTTTAATGTTTCCGTCCAACCGGCAGCAGCGACATCATACCGTAGCAAATCTGTTAACTTATTCAGTGGAAATGGCTCTCCAATAGTATAAGCTTTTGGGAACTGCTGTTCAATCCGGTTAAAACCATATGCAATAGCGACATCTTCTGCCACATCACATTCATGCAATACATCAGCTCTCGTTACAGGTACTCGAACCTGAAGCACATCGAAGCAAAATTCTACAATTTTGATTCGACGAAATAGAAGTACACAGAACGTACTTTAAACTGAAGTTGATAGTAGGCACTTAACTTACTTCTAGAAGATTTTGATTTTTATCCTTCGAACATACTTCCGTTCTAAGTGACATTCTATTCAGAAGAGAACACATTTCCTCAGCTTTCAAATTCAGTCCAATTCTTCCATTGATGCCATCAACGCTTACTACCATCGATCTGTCACTGAGATCCTGAAACAAAAGAATTTGGCGACTTTATAATACCCTGAACATTTGAGACTTGCATATATATATTTTTTAGCATATTACAAATTCAAGCATATTATTATATATATACTAAATATACTTGCCAAAAATTACTTTAACTAAAATTATATAAGATTGAATATTCACAAATTTCTAGTTATTTTTAGTTTCTAGTTCTCCCTTAATGGTCGAATCATGGATGCGGGAGACTCCGAATTGGTACGGTTTATCAATCCCAGAGTAAGAATTCATTACTAGTCGGTGTAAATAATACTAACTGTACAAGACAAACATATCATAACGGATAATTTACCAGTATCAGATTAATGATAAATAAATAAAACGATGGATGAATTTGACAATTCTGCAACCGCCTTCTCTGCTTATAGAGTGTCATGAACACAACGTGTTTTCAGAGAGCAGCGCACCGCTCACGAAGCCTTCTTGCATTAGAACAACAACACTTAATATTACCCCGTGCAAACCATTCTCACAGTGATTCACAAATATATCTTATTGCACCCATGCGATGACACAAGAAATATTGCAATATGAGACAAAAAATGGAATCAGATATCTTCAGTGTTTTGATTCCCAAAAGAAATATTGTGAAATAATCAATGAAATAATTCCGAACTTTAAATCTCCAAATGAAATACTCCATGACATTATAACGGTTCGAAATTATTGACTGACTCTTCTTCAAAACACCAAACATAAAATGTACCGCTACAGCAAAAAAACTTGCTTTCGTAAAGAGAAAGCAATTGCAGTCCTTCAGATGAAAAAACCTCCATCAACGGTAACGTTTAAAAAAATGGAATAAAACTATAGATATCAATCTAAAAGACCCTATTCATTTGTCAAGCACAACAAACCGGGTATTCGCATTTGGTACCATCGACCGCAATAACTTCCACTGGTTCAACACTGAAAAGAGTTTCGAAAATTCCAGCACAAACAGTTTACATTTTTGCAGAGCATTTTGTATCATCAAAGTGGTCTATTAGAAAATAAAGTTCTTCATGACGAAAATTTAAACTTCAAAATCAACAATGTTGATGAAGACTTACAGGAACGAAGTACTGTCATCTTTAGTTGTATTTGATGTGTATTGGATGAACATTGATACGATTGTATTAAGTACTATTTTAGCTTTTTCCAGTTGCGTTGCTGTTACTTCGATCAATATATTGCGGGTACTAAGCTGGATTTTCGAATGTTCCCCTGAATTGCAAAAAGAAAAATTGAAAAATCCTTAAAAGAATTCAAACATATTTTCAGCAATGCACAAAAAAAGCTGAATTTCCGAATATTCTTCTACAATTACACATGGTACCGATTTAAGTTCATAATATAAAAGGTTTGCTAATCTAAAATTAGACAATTTAACTGGAAGAATATAATAACCGTTGATAATGGGTGGCATAGATAACACAATTCCATTTTTATCTCTAACTACCGGATATCGCTCCTTATCGATAATAATTGGAAGATATGATTTCAAATAATTATCCCCCTACAAAAAATTAATAATACTTAATTCATGAATTTCTTTTGAAAGGTTATTTTTTCAAATTTTCACAAATATGTTCAATCGACGCTATTACGATATACGTGGCTTCAGATTATATGAGTCAAAATGTTTGCTGGAAAAAAATTCTTTTTTCAAAAATCTTCAGAATTTTAATCCTGTCATAAGAAGATAAGATCATTACAGAATACAAAACCATCATTTCCTCTGCCGTATACTCCTTTGTTCGATTCAATGGTCTGAACCGCAAGTTAGCAGGTTTCTCTGCTCCGTAATAAAAAGGACCTGAAATAGAATATCTTGCAGAACAGCCATGTTCACAGAAGATTTAAAAATGTTACAGCTCTTCAAGACAAACTAAAACGAAACCTTCCACTGTATCCAAGTCGTGCGTACCAATAGCTACTAAAGTTCTCTTTCGACATATATTCTGGTGCAGTTTATCTTGCAAATCAATTAGTGAAGCGTAAGAATCAGAATCTAATTTGACACCGACTAAAACAGCTCCTACGATAAATGGCCGTATCGATAGAACTTCAGGTTTAATTACTATCTGATGTCGACAATGAGGCGATCTATACCGTTGATAAATTGGTGGCTTCATCCTGAAGAAAAATTTCAGTCTTAAGGTGGAAGACGACTGATATGAACAACTTGGTTTCACAGTACATATTCTTTATTTCCCTATGCTTACGTAATTTCAAAATCTGTCTAAACACAATAATTCTAGAAAATTCACAGCAATATTTTAACTCACTCGTTTCTGAATATCCGCAAGGCACGCGAAAGACCTTCAATACAGAGCAAATCATAACGATTTGCTGGTAACTCTATTTTATATATTTCCTCGTCACATACTTCACATACTTCATTCACATCCTTCTCACCCATTGTTAAACCTTGTTCTTTTTGCGCTATAGCTTTTTCGCTTATCTGTAAAATCAAACTGTTCAATTACATACTAAAGTTTTTTTCACTGGAGATGCGATGCAATGCCAAACATTGATACTTCACATTTCAAAAATGATTCACAACGACAGTCTTACAACAGATAGACAGATAGACTAAAGTGTTTAAATCCAAAATAAGATGAAATGTGATCGCAAGACCAAAGGTACTTAGGTAAAGGAGAGCTCCTCAGTCTTCATAAAATTTGTTTAAACATAAACCGTAAGCCAAAATCTGAATATCACGACAGCGAACAAACAATGCACCTCATCCATGCTAAAACTGACATACAATTCTCGTCCATTAAATGAAAAGAGAAAGGACAATTTACGTCATCTGTGTCAGATAACAAATACCTCGCATCAATTAAATCAATTTTTCATGCGAGCTAAACAAAAAAAATCAATATTTCATGTCAGCAAAATCGAAAGGTAATGAACGACAAGAGCAGACCCTAAAAACGAACCACTTCATCGAGTTCTAAGCCATAATCGAACAACAAATTCTCGAACTCCTTTTGTGCTGAAAAATGTGAAGTAGCATTATCGTATCACAAAATAAATTTGGAGTGATAAAATCTTTGCAAGAATTTCTTCTAACTGCTCAAAGTCTTAATTTTTTCAAATGACAATAACTTTCAATAATTATAATATGTTTAAGTTTAGCATATCAAAATTGCGTATCACGATTATATCAAAATCATAATAATAGGAAAGCTGCAATAAAAAAAAAAAACAAAATTTAAATAATGAACAAAAAATTTTCAACACTTACTATATACTCTGCCCATGTATCGGTCGATAACCGACTTCTTGATTCCTATTATTGGCATCTGACCAGAAATACCGGTTGTTACTCAACAAATTCTAAACGCACAACTATTCTAAAATTTAAGTGTCGCAATTCTAGTGCGGAAGCAACAGATAATCTTTCGGAAATAAATAAAATCATCCGGAAAAGCGAAATTACTATAAATTAAATCTATCTATCCTGTTCCAAACTTTCACCACTTTGGATCTCGAAATATCTAAAAACTCTGAGATTTTCTTCGTTCGAGATATCCCTAAAATATGACTATCATCTCTATAAGTAAGAACGGTAAGTGACAATAATTCAGTGAAGCCAGCGGAGGTCTGCAAACTCCCTGAATACCACGCGAGACACAGTCAAAGGATGGATGGGGAAAAATGCAACGAATTAACACGAAATTAACACGTACGCGCAATGAAAAGCTAACGTCTGCCTGATTTACGAGCTCTTCTTCAATCTTAAGTGTTGGTTCTAATCGTGGTGGAAGATTAAGAAGTTCTCATAATTTAATAATCGGAAGTTGGCATATTTAAATTCCCATATATTCAGCGTCAACAGTTGCATTGTTTTCTAACTTCAAAGTTTTTTTTTTCTCTGTGCAAACGTATTCACTTAGGTTGAGATGTATTAAGTGGAACCCATTCCTGTTCTTTGTTGATTTGTGAGTTGTTTCTCAGAGTACACAAATTTTCGATGTCGCGAGACTTCTGGATTTTTTCGTCACCAGTTGCAAATTTTTTTGGTGTCTGCGTTCTATTTTCATTTTGGATTCAAAAATTTGCTTTACTCTAGATAGCGGTTTCTGATTGCAATTTAAATTGTATTGGAATATCTTTTTCACTGGTTCGCATAACTTTCTCCCAGGAAATATATTTTTGCACATCCGTCTCCTCAAATTTCAGACTACATCAGTATTATAAAATGGGTAATCAGTATTATAAGCCGACGGCAGTTAACGAAGACGAGATTGAACCGTATACCCGTCAAAAGGGTGAATCACCGTATACGCGATCAGGCTTACCACCACCATCACTTATTCATAAAGTATCATCTTGAAGCTTTTTTATTTTTCATGTAAAGCAGATATAAAGAAAAAAGGAATACATACGCTAAGAAAAGTAATAGGACACTGTAAACTTATTTGACAAGAATGCAAGGGTGCTTGCGTTTTTGTTGAGAAGTATAACACATATAGTTCAGAGAAATAATAGAACTCAAAACTAACGAGTCCAATGTGTACTGATTTTGATTGCAAAAACGATCAACACTTGTAAGATTTGACCTTTGCGTTATCTTTACCGATAAGATGATTATCCATTAACAGAAATTGTAGTACTAATGCATATAGAATCTTTACTTGGCTTAATACATTCTTTTCAAAACAACGAAATAAAAATACTGAGTGTACAGTGTGTCATTATAACTCTTTTTGGTTATGTTTCTGCTCATTTAGACTTTTTGCTGCTTGCATTGGTTCTTAAAATCTGAATTTAATTTCAGAGTGACAAAGTGCCACATTTGAAACATGAACCAATGAGTTTAGAACTACATATGGCTGACGAACGGGCACGAGCAGCAGGCCTTACTCCTGCTGAAAGAGAATGGCGAAAGTAAGCTAAATATTTTGTTTTATTCGTTAGTTGATCTCATTTGAAACTTAGCATTTTGAAATTTGATTTGGGAAATTAGCTAAAATTATAAGTTGAAATCATGCTGCTATCTTACAAAAAGAGCCGATAACTCAGTAATTCATTGGAATTAAACGGTGTACTGAAAAGGATACCAAATTGTTTTGATCATTAAAGCGCATGAAACTGTTACAGTTATATTTTGCTTTATAATGTGGTCTGAACGATTTCAGCTTTGATCGTGTTTTTTTTTTTCGACTCAAATGTTAAATCACTACTTGAAATCGAGTCTTAGGATTTGATGAATTAATTTTGAATTTCAGAAAATGGGTTCTGGATCAGTATCTTCATCCGGATGAGCCAATTCATGTTGATGCTGTACATAGACAGCTTAATCCCATTCGTATTTTATACCGCACACCGTTGGATAAGCTTTACAAACATTTCTTAAAACCAACATTTGTAAGTTTCAATGCATTGTTCTTCCTAATTTCTATGAGTTTTGCTTATTCACCCTATTATACCTTCTGATAGTCTTAATTAGATCTAATGCTACCGATCGAAGTCGATAGATACTCTGAAATGTTTTATTTAAATGCATTTACATGACGAAATCGTAGATTTCTGTTTTTTTAACCATATCTTCTCTTTGTCAAGTTTATCTTAGTTTTGCCAAGGTAATATCCCGAATAATGCATTTCCCATCCCTATGTTATTTTATGAGGTTTTTGTTTTGCAATATATCTTCTTTGGATGGTAATTGACTAATCTGTGAAACTTGAAATCTTACTTTGTGGGATTTATACATTCAAAGTTAGTAATTAACTTTTTCAACTATTGTAATTAACTAAAAATATTTTTGAATCATACCCCTTCCAGTTTCGAAACGGAAAATTCTTTTAGGGTATATTTTATGGTTCACTGATAAGGGCTGTAGTACCAAAACTTTTTATGGCGTGGATTCTCATCGAAGCAAGCTATTATTATTGGAAGTATGAAGCTAGGGTAAGTTTTACTTCAATTTTTGAAGAAGTGAATGAGTCCTAAGCATCAGATATACACTTCGTTAATTTGATTCGTTAATTCCGCGAAATGTATTTTAGGGCTGGGAAACGATGCGAGGAAATGAACAAAGTTACCCCCGCGAACGTTTCTGGGATGATCAGGTATGCTGTTTACAGATGTTTGATGATTTATGAAGCATCAGAGTTCTTCCGCCACTTACTCATTATTGTCTTAATTCATTCACTCTTATCAACAAACACACAGTTATTATATCTTTCAGTCTAATTTTTAATACTAATTACCTTCACCAATAATTTTAATCCTATTGGAGCGAAGTTTTGGAATCAAGTGCTATCTGCAATCCTTTGATTTTTTTAGTGAACTCCGACCTTCACCCCTGCATTTTTACATTTCGAATTTTTAGGAGTTGCGAGAGAAGCACCCTGACTTATTTAAAACTGGCAGACCAATCCAGCCAGAGCACAAATTCGAGCCGCGATCATTTACCCAACGCACTGCATTCTTGGATCTGGGACCTCCAGCAAGACCATGGTGACATGCAGTGTTCATATGTAGTTCTTGAGGGTAGCAGGATACATGTTCTCCAGCCTTTGTTTTTCTTTGCTTCAAGATTTATTTGCAAATTTCAGATTTAGGTTTGTCTTTATGTTTCGAAAATCCTGTATGTTGGTAATAACGCAATTAAGCAACTTCAATAATTGCTACTGATATAAATAACTCTCCATATCAGAAAGTTATGCCGTCCAGGAAAAATAAGCAAATTCTGAAAAAATTTTTCGCCGTCGAATTTCATTAGGTCTTAAAGATTCCGACTCACTTAGTGTCTTGATTACATTACTATTATCAGAAAAGCGTGATAGTGAAGGGTGCTCCATTTAAAGTTCTATGATAAAGTGATAATTTCGAGACACACTTTACAAATGGTAAAATCAGTAATGGGAACAAGAAATAAAGTAAGTGAGAGATCACAAAGAGATTTGTACATATATTTATTTTTAAGTGAAAAGTAACATTCTAATTTACCAGTCGAAATCACTAGGTGTGTTGGGCGTATCCGGTCTTTCACCTGCTTCAATAACAAACGACTCTTCCGGTATTTCGGCCTAGAAAAATTATTACATATTTTGCATGAGCTATCGATTCTCTTTGATTTGCATAGTTTTCCATTTGTTGCAGCTAACTTAATTCGATATCATATTAAACCAAAAGAACTCTTTCGCAACATTTCACTTTAGAAGGTGAGGGGTTTTAATTCCCAGAATTTTTTTCAAATTTTAATTTATTACATCTTCCGTCTTTAGTGTCCGTTCAAGAAGTGGCTCCACTTTTTCTCTTTGATCATGAATCATTTTCATATACTGAGCCATGAGTGGATCAATTGTATGTTTTCCCGATGAATTACTTGTCACGGCCACCTCCGCATTCTGAATCACACAGAGAAGTTATCATTAAAGAAATAAGCAGTGAAAAAGTCCGCTAAAAGTTAAGAATTTTGTTACCTTTTCAACATTCTTCGGACTTGGATGCGTGGCACTTTCTATTCCCGTCATTTTTCCATGGGTGGAATTGGTCTTGATGATCGAGGGATCCCTTGGAAATTGCTGTAATAGATAAAATAGATAAACACAATTTTTAAAATATGTGCCAATAATACAAAATATAGAACAAGGAAAAGTGAATACCTCAGGAAATTTTAAAACGAGAAGGAAGTACCTCAACTTCATGGTTTGGTGAATTCCTGGACGCTGGTTTTTCAAACTCATTAGTTTCAGCATGTGATAAAGGTATAGAGTGAATGTAATCCAAAGACTGAGAGTGGCTTCTTTCACGTAATTTCTCTAGCGCAAAATCCAGTTTCTATAAATTTTGCAAGAGAAAAGAATGGAAAAGCTATGTTCTCATCCGCATATAATATATTCGAGATTTTAAACTGCCTTGATTTGGAAATGATCCTACCTGTTTTGTAAAATTCAAAACTTTCATTCTATCACGGAAATTCTGCTCGAATGATGACTCCGTAAGAGTTGATGAAGACATGGAGTCGGTTATTGTCATCCTGGAGCGGAAATTGATATAATAATTAACTGGAATTAAACGAAATGGATCTTAAATAGAAACCTTGCTGTTACTGGTGTGGTAGGATGAGAATTTGGTCGCTTAAATTTCTCGAGTGCATTGAAGTGGTACCTGTGTAATTCCATGCTCAGTGCTTGCAGTTTGTCTATCTGAAAAAAATTCGACCGTCTTCTAAATTACTTGGGCCAATCCGATTTTTCAATTTAACAACTTATATCTGTATCGGCTCGCCATGTCTAATTACTTTTGAACCACCAATTGATACATCCTACGGGAGCAGATATATGCAATGCAAATACATGAATCATTTCTATTTATTCAACTTATCTCTGTCTAAAAAATCTAGTATATTCAAAAACTAATCAAGTTCTGTGTAGAAAGCTGAACAAGTTCTAGGCTCCAACTTGAGAAACTTTTGTGTAGAAAAACCCTTACGGCCAATTTGTGCTGGAATTTCAATTCATTGATACGTAAGGCAGCCGATTCTTCTAGCAATTTTAATTGCTTCTTTAAACTGCTAATTGTTGCATTTCGTCTCTCCAATTTTCCCATCAACTTCTGATTCTGAAAGTTGAAATAAATGGTGAATGAAACGTTTAGGAATTTATCGTAACATTCCGATATTTGTAATATCTGCAAAGAAAACTGGCTTTAAATCATTATCAAGTGTTCCTCAAAAAATGCTTTTATTGTTTTTACGTTTGTAATCGGCATTAAGTTAACGTTGACTTAGGGAACTGATTCTTCTGCACATACAACAAACAGTTTTAAAAAATAGTGAAACTATCCTCTGACCCTATTAAAAAACATCAATATTTCAACCAAATTAAATTTATTCGACATTTTTTTACTCTGGAATGCCTTACACCTTTCGACTCCATAAGGTGAACTCAACATATTAATAAAGAAGCTTGCATTAAAGAACCGTTTCAAATAGTTTCTCCCTCTCCTTTTTTATGCGTTCCAAATCTTCATTGGTCTTTCGTTGTTTATGTAACGTATCACATAAAGCTTGTTTAGTTTCTGCGAGCTTCTTCTGTTGTTGAATCACTTTTTCCTGAAAGAAATCATTTCCTTCACTTATCTTTCTAAAATAATCCAAATCATTAACATGAATTCAGTATTCCAATTTTTTGCACCCAAAAAACTAAAATATCGAACTTTCTAGCTCTACTTTTAACCATTGTATCCCTTTGTTTGGTGTCCTCGTTATTGCTTGAAAACACATAAAAAACTCTCGATTCCGGCTACCGTGGAGCATAACCATCCATAGAAACGATAAAAGAATTCATACATTTAAACAAAAGATATACCTGTAAACTGTTTAAACGTTCTGTTTCCTCGGCAGAAAATTGCTGTCCACTGGAAATTTCACATATTTTATCCCAAATTATTCCATATTTCTTTGACAATACTGCTTCTTTTTCATTCCATTCAAAAATCTAAATTCCTTTTCAACACAAAAATTTTTTCAGAATTAATATGAGCAAGAATTATCAGAAATGAAACAAAGATACCATTTGTGCTATTTCAGCCCTGTCTTTTTCGCGTGCTTTCTTAATCGCCTCCTGCAACCCTTGGTCAAGGCTTTTTTCACGGATTTTCAGACCATCTTTAATCTGCTCCAGTGAACATCTTTCTTGCTCTATGAGACACAGCTCGTTGTCTTTCTTCCTGAAAATTATGTTTAAATTATAGACTTGTTTTTTCAACTCTTTTACAGTAATTTCTTCTGATTCTTTCAAATTACGTAAAATATGCTCGAATAATTCATTAATTTTTCCATAAAATTCAATTTCTAAACGAAAATTTAAGCTAATACACAATAAACTGCACCTCTAAGCTAATAGGTTAGCATCGAGCATGACTGTAAACTTACAACTGAAAGTTCGCTCGAGCATTATCCAACAATTCTTTCTGAAATCGTAACTCTTTCTGTGCTATTTCGATCTCTCGCCAAGCTCTTTCACATTCCAGTTTTTTGTTCTGAAAACCGGTTACATGCTTATTGAAATTGGTAAATCATTCATAAGTGTTTTTTGCAAAAGAGAGATAAAAAACTGTTCACCTCGAAAGTCATGCGAATATCCTCTCGTAAAAAATCTTCCTTATTTTTATATTCATCGTCTTTACGCTCCGCCAATTCTTCCAGCTAAAGAATTCGCTATTTCAAAAAGTATTTGTTATTTTTCACTGTAAAGATCACTTATTTAATTCAAAGAATTTCCTCTTCTTTCAAACAGTACCTTCTCTAACTTATCTACTTATTACAGTGAATGTAATAAACATTCGTTGGTTTTTTAACCATATAAAAAAGGAAGAAAAAGAACAAATACGAAAGAGCATACAGAAGTAGAACTTGATTCTCAAACCATATCATTCTTCGTCAGACATTACATATTTAAATAAGATTTAAAAAATTTCATATTTAAATTAGATTTAAAACATATAAGTCATTGATCTGAGAATCTGAAATAACTTCAAGCCCCAAAATATACAAACTTGTTTCTGTTTTAACAAAAGATTTTCTCTATATTCATGTCGAAGCCTAGTCATCATTTCTTCTATCGTTTTTTCTTCATTTCGTTTCCAAGTTTCTAACTTGACGTTATAAATTTGTTTCAAGCGATTCCACAAATACTCGGCTATGATTCGAACTTTGGCTAGATTTGGTTCCTAAAATTATGTAACAACATGGAAATCAAATAATCAGAAATTCTTCGAACAGATTTTGAACCGCATACTACTATAGCCTTTATTTGGTGAAGCACAAATATCTCTAACATTAGCTTTCTCTCTTAGCTTCCGTTCTGTTGCTGGCCGACTGTTTACGCTTTTTAAACAATTTTCATTCCAACTTTGAATTATAGCATTTGCGATTAGTTGTTCCACTTCCTCATCAATACCCGTCTGTAACACAAACAGATAGGAACGATTATTTAACATGATAACAGTATCAGTCGTACTGTTTTTGCCATTTGACGTATGATAATGAATAAGAAAGATATATCAGCAACGTGGAAAAATTCGATAAAGGATGCGACAACGATTTTAACACAACTGACGCAAGTTTCCTGGACGTGAAATGAAAACTGGTTGACCAATGATACAAGAACTTACAGTGCGCAACGCATTACGTACAAGATCACCCATTGCAAGCCCTTTCCATTTTGCTGCTGATAATCCTGAAATCGAATGAAATTTCGAAACATCCAAGGAAATAAATCCAACTTACTAAAATTCTTTCTAAATTTTAACTTAGTTAATTAAATTTGATTTTCAGATTTATTTAGATGGAAAAAGAATTTTAGCAAATTAAATTTAATTTGAAAATGGAATTAGAATTATGGTATTACAAATCTCATAAAATTTTTCCTTCTGTTCCCTCGAAATACCTATCCGATGAAAGATATGTTAACATGCAAACAGATAAGATTAAGTTATTTAAGCGTGAGAAACGTAAAAGTATCTGAGTAAACAATTAAATACGCGAAAATATTTAAGAGCTACGTAAGATGTTGCACAGTGAGAGACGTTAAATCCGGACAAAGGTACCTGAGAAGTTCTGTATAGTGGTGAGGCAGTGTTTCGAAATATAATTAAAAAATGATATTTAGTTAGTTGGTTATGCAGGGATTAGTAAGTGATAATAGTTTCAGTATATAAGTTATATTTTAGATGAGCTCAATTGGAACTGGGTATGATCTCGCTGCTGCAACTTTCTCACCGGATGGACGTATTTTTCAGGGTATATTACTTTCATTATCATCTTTTCTCCGTTTTTGTTTCGTTTCTAATATTTTACTGTTAAATTAGTCTTCATAACCAAAAAACTATGATTTTGACAATTAAATACTCCCAATAATAAGAGGCATTTGGTAATCGTAATATTTTACCGCAACTAAGTAATCTCACTGACAATCCAACTAAGTAATCTCACTGACATGAATTCTGCTTGTAATAATTTTAGCAAGTCATCGTAGCAATAATCAGTGGTCATTGCTGATGATTTCTCTTATCCAAGAAAGATTGAATTAGATTATCGTATCAGCATTCAACTTTGATCTAGGTTTAGAAATGGAGTAGTGGGAATGTTAATATTAAGGTTCGTAATTGAAATTTAAAATATTCATTGAAAGTTTAGCGTGTTTTTGTTCAACCTTATTCTTTTTCATCGATTTTTCAGTTGAATATGCCCAAAAAGCGGTTGATAATGGTGGTACAATGATTGCTATACGAGGAAAAGATGGCGTTGTTACGGCAGCTGACAAACAAATCACTTCGAAATTATATGTCGAAGTATGAATATTTCTGGCTTTTTCTTGTTTTATTTTGCTTTTGTTGTTTTCTTTCCAAATTTTCCGAGATATCAAATTATCTTGTAGTCTTAGTGACTTTCGACAGCAAATAGTTTGCAGCATAGTATGGAAAGTTTCATCTGGTAAAATCTCTAGCTGTATTGATATCTGGCCTTCGTGTGACTCTCTGTCATTGTAATGTAGGAAAATGTCGCATTCATTATAAAATGGGACTTTTTAAAAAATTGTGTGCGTAGTAATCTCTTTAATCGCTATTTTAGAATGCGAATCCAAGAATGGCAAATGCAGGAGAATACATCGGTTGTGCAATGGCAGGCATATATCCAGATTGCAGGGCACTTCTAGATTATGCAGTAAGTGAAGCACTTAAATATCTGAAAGAGTACCGGACACCTATTCCGATCAAAAAACTGGCAAATCAGGTGGATTTATCTCCATTTTTAAACATGCCATGGGCAATTCAGAGTATTTACATATCTTAAATTAAGCTGTTTAGTATACATTTGTGCACACATTTACATTCAAAATTTTGTATTATTGTTTTGTTCCGCTATCGTCTGCACCAGTTGTTGTCGGAAAGCCTCCTATGGTATCCGTAATATGCAAATCGCTTATTGAATATTTGACGTGTTTAGAATTTTCAATTTAATCATATAGGAATTTGCTATTCTTTTTTCTATTTTCCGTCGCAGGGTTAAGAATTTACATCATGAGCGGATTGAAACACGCGAAATAACAAATAGAAGTTCTCTTTCTTTCATTTTTGATAAGCTTATGCTCAATAATATTTTAAAATTAAAAAATTACCTTTGTTTTTGTCTAACCAAAGTGAATTTTCAGTTAGCCGAGTATGTCCATGTATATACGCTTGGTATCAGTAGGCCTTTTGGAGCTTCAATATTTTTGACTGCTTGGGATGAAAAGGTAAGTCTTTGAATTTTTAATTTGGAAAATGAAGACACTTTCGCACGCTGTTTGCGCGAAGATCAAGGATTCTGAAAGAAGCTAGGAAGGGTAACACCATAAGAAGTTGCTTCTCCAAAGCTAGCAATTAGTCCCGAATTTTATGGATGTAAAATAATGGTGAATGTTTAATTTTTTCAGAATGGTTCGCAATTATTCTTGTTGGAGCCTTCAGGTCTATGTTATGAGTACAAGGCTTGGGCAATCGGTAAGCATCGACAGGCAGCTAAAACGGAAATTGAGAAGTTGAAATTTGAAAATATTCCGATGCAACAGCTAGTTAATGGTATGTGCAGTTTTTTAAATTGAATTTGCTATAGTCAAGTTTAGATCTCCTTATTTCTCCAACGTTTACAAAAATTAGTTGAATTAATTTTTCTTTTGTTCCAGAAGCGGTACGAATAATTTTAATGGTGCGAGACGAAGCGAAAGATAAGAATTTACAGGTGGAAATGGGTTGGGTAGGCGAAATTACTGGAGGAAAACATGAGATTATTCCGAAAGATGTTGGTTTGATCATGCTAAATCTTTGATGAAGAATTTTTTTCATTATTAACTTTTCTTTCAATTTTTTTTTCGAAGTTTTCAGGGTTTGCATGAAAAGGGTTAGATTTTTTGAGCTTTTAATTTGATAAACATATAAAGGGCAAAAATAAGTTTTAAAATTAAATAATTTTGCGGTAATAACTTAGACTCATAAAAGTAACATCATCAGTAGCAATTTCCGAAATCTATTGTTGCTCAGTAGAGATTTTTATCAATATTTATTTATTCTGTTGACTGTTTCATTCTCGTTCAATCATAGGAGGTGTTAGCTGGAACTAGAGTTTTATTGAGTTTTTCATTATACATATTGGATAGGATAGTCTATTGCTACTAATTGTTTGTTTTAGATAGTAAAAGAAGCGGAGGCTTGGGCTAAAGCAAAGTTGGAAGAAGATGACATGGATGATTGATTTTGTATTTTTTTTATGCTGTTTCATTGTTATTCTATAAATTTAAATAAACATTGGCAATATATTGTGTGCATGAAGTCGTATTGTTGGTTTTGAACAAACTGAATTTTGATTGTCTTTTTGATGCGCGCAAGGCTAAATGTATAGAAAAATGTAAAAATGAACGCAGAGGATACCAAAAGCAAAACGAGCAGCAAAGTACAAAGATGCATCGAATTGGCGTTTGATTGTTTCAGTAATGGAAATTAGTAATTTCGTTGAGAATAATCGCAGTGTCAGTGTACGAATTTTCTCAGAGGATGAGCAGGAACTCACTGAAGCTGCAATCATACTACCTTTTTCCACAACTCTAACGCAATTGCAGGTCGTTTAATTTCTCAAATGAAGAACTCAGAAATCTTTTAGTCTGTTTACGTCTGGTTTTTGATTTTTATAACTTGAAGAAGAAATTAGAACTAATTAACATAGTTGGTATATGGGACATATATATTTTGTTGTAGATTTTATGCAATCAGTTGTTGGGCAGCTCGGACGATCCAGTTCCGATAACATTTCGGACAAGAGATGGCATTTTGATCGAAACTTCTTTAGAGGACTCAATACCACAACAAAAAATTGACTCAGAAAAGGTGTTTTGTTATAGAACTTTCATGGATGATTCCATTTAAATACTAGAAATGGCTTTTCTAATTCTAGTCAAATTTTTTCGAGGATTATTTTTGGAAGATGGAACCGTTATTCAACATTATTTCGCTGGAGGACATGGATAATAGTGTGATGGTTTGGGATTATAAATTATAATGCAGATAAGTGAATAAAGCAAGTGACGTTTTATTTGCTCTAAGTAATGTTTGGCGTAAATTACAGAGCACTGAATTGGTATATTATCCTGAAGCAGTGTTCCGTGTGAGGCCAGTAACTCGATGTACCTCTTCAATTTCTGGGCATGGTGAGCCTGTGATTAGTGTACAGTTCAGCCCAAATGGAAGGTTTTTACTAAAATTTTTCAATTATTAAAAGCATCTTAAACAACTGTACCATTTTCACCACATATCAATTCTTCAGGCTCCACTTTTAAAAATTCCGTGCAGTTTCTATAAAATTTTCAGGGAGCTTGCTAGTGGTTCGGGTGATGCAACTGTGCGTTTCTGGGATTTGAATACAGAGACGCCACTGTATACTGCCAAAGGACATACAAATTGGATACTGTGTATCGCTTGGTCACCCGATGGCAAAAAGCTTGCTTCGGCTTGCAAAAATGGACACGTATGTCTTTCAGAAATACCCTTCAATAAATTCTATACCTGCAGAATTCCAATATTGCTGACGTATATTATGCATATGTATATGATATATGTATTTATTAATCGAAACAACTGTTAAGATCTGTTTATGGAATACTAAAAGTGGAACACAAATCGGCAAAAGAATGACCAGTCACAAACAGTGGATAAATCAGCTTGTCTGGGAGCCATATCACAAAGATCCGTATTGCAGGTAATTTTAAATATATATCTTGTAAATTTCCCAGAAATAAGAATTTTATTATCTTTTGGTTCCGTACTCACTCTGACTTTTTCGTTCAAGAATCTTGAGGTTCATATTACTTTTAAGACATTTGGCAAGTGCTGGAAAGGACGGCGAAATCAGGATTTGGGATACTGTGAAATGTGAAATGATTCGATGTTTGACAGGACATACAGCATCAGTAACATGTATGAAATGGGGTGGACAAGGACTTATTTATACTGGTTCACAAGTAAGTACAAAGAAAATAGATGAAATTGAATACAGAACTATTACTAAAATAATTTACAACATTATAATGAGATATTTTTTTGAGCAGGATTTACACTTCGTTAATTTTCATCTGTTATTAGTGTAAAATTTCATTCATAAAAATGTAAGGTTAGTTACATTGAAATCAATTTATTCCAGGATCGTACGATCAAAGTATGGCGCGCAGAAGATGGTATCTTGTGTCGTACTTTAGTTGGTCATGCCCACTGGGTCAATACTTTAGCTTTAAATGTGGAATATGCTTTGCGTATAAGTTTTTACAATGCTTTGGAGCAATCTACGATATTAGATGATGACATGGTTGGTTAATAGAAATAGTATTATCCAACACTAAGGAAAGAGATTTGAGAGAACTATGAACTGAAAAAAAAATTGTATTTTTGCAAAAGAAATCTATCTTTCTCATTTATGTTTTTATGATAAGAGGTGTTAATTATTTTTAATTCTCAAACAGCAGAAGTCACAAATGATCATAGTTGAGAACTAGTGTTATATATTTGAATTTTGGGTTAAGCTATGCTGATATAGCTAGTCATAATGAACTGGGATGGTTGAGTAAAAATACGGTCCATTTGCTTCTTCTAGGCAATGCGTCAAAAAGAAGCTTTGCATCGGTATGACTCAGCTAAGGGTACATGTGGTGAGCTGTTAGTTTCTGGATCTGATGATTTTACTTTGTTTTTCTGGAAACCAGCGGATGAGAAGAAACCTCGGACACGTATGACTGGCCATCAGCAGCTAGTGAATCAGGTGAAATTAATACAGTAAATTTTGGAAGGACTTGGAAGAAAAGAATGAATGGAAATATCAGAATGCAGAAAACAGAAGAAATTATTTATTCTAATGAAGAAAATGGTTCATTCGTTTTGTAATTAGCATAAAAATTAATCAGAGATAAAAATATGAGATCACCAACTTAGCGTAAATTTTTTTCCAAAACATCTCCATGGCTTTTCAAAAATTGAAAAGTCTTTTCCAGGTAATGTTTTCCCCGAATACTCGGTACATTGCATCGGCATCATTTGATAAATCAATTAAATTGTGGTGTGGACGAACGGGCGCTTTTCTTGATACATTACGGGGACACGTCCAAGCGGTTTATCAAATCGCCTGGTCGGCTGACAGTCGATTGCTCGTTTCTGGTTCGGCAGATTCAACGTTAAAAGTAGGTTAAACGTGTTATAAAATAATGACTTCACTAATGTGAGTTTCACATGTATAGCACTCATATTGCTAATACAAAAGCATTTCCTTTGAACTTCTTATTACTGCTTAGTATCTCAAATATTGTCCTGGATTCTTATTTCTGATTAGGATCTGAAGTATAGCATTCTTGATCCAGCAACAGTAAACTATGATGTCAATATTGGGAACGGGAGTCAGGAAGCCATTGTATTCTCGCTAAATGTAGTAGAAACTGAACTGTTTTGTTCGATGCAACCATCGAATTATTAGATTGATAGTATTGTGGTTAATATTTCAAAAATTTCGACTTTTGATGAAGGAAGGATTTCGTATTATCATTTTGGTTGGGAGAGGTTTCTTTTTCTACAGTTTCAATTTCCGGTTGCATTGTCAAATCTAATAAACCACAGACATTTTGATAAATGATAATAATATTAAAACAAACGATTGACAATAAAATAAAAGCAAAAAGAGATAGTGACAATTTTGATCGTTCAGGTTTGGGACATACATAAACGTGGTCTCTGTATGGATCTTCCGGGACATGGTGATGAAGTTTATGCGGTGGATTGGAGTCCAGATGGTACTCGAGTAGCTAGTGGTGGAAAAGATAAATTGCTAAAATTGTGGCGTCAATAAAAGATCAATAAAGTGATAAGATGTTCTTGAATTTGATCTTATTTACTCACCAAAAACTTGCCTTCTGTGTGTAACTCTCATCTAAACTCGTATGAAATCATCTAAATTGATCTGAAGTTTTCTCATCTAAACTCGTCAACGTATTTGCACAAAAAAGGCAAATTTCAAAACTTCATTTCATCAAACGGACATAATTACTCCAATGTTGAATTCAGTCATGAGAGGAGATTATGGAAATGTTGCCAAAAATTTTCGCTTCTTGGGTTGTTATATAGATTAATGTATGATTATGTCAAACATACTTCAATAATAATTTTAAAATTTACTCATTTCTTTTCGAGATTTCAATTTTTGAGCATGAAAGATATGTTTTGAGTGATTGTGCAAATATGATACTTTTCGTGTTCATGTCATACTTGTACAAGTTGTGCGAGTCTAAGAAATGGTACGTCTTAAATTGTCCCATTGGAAATGGTATACCAGTCCGAAAATCTTTGGGTAGATTTGGGTAGTATGTTTCCAAATCATAAATTAGTGATACCTTGTTGCGTTTCAATTCGTACGTTGCTAATACATTTCCCTGAAAGTGAAAAATGTTTTGAATTGGAAATAATTATTTAAAAATTTTGCCATATGGAAGAAGATATCGCGGTTGGTCTTAAACTCTGATTGGAACAAGTCAGTGTTATCTTCATTTTGCTTCATGCACACATTAGGATGAGAACTAAAGTGTTCATAAACAACTAGAGTATCCACCAATTGCAGTTTGCTATTGGTTCAAAGCTTGCCGAAACAGATATAGCACGTAATATTAGTTCAAAGCTTACCGAAACAAGTATAGCACTTCCGTTCTGGATAGGAAATGCAGCTTGTGGTAAGAACAAAACACGATTTGAGAGCATTTTAGGCCATCCTTTTCTTAGGCTGAAAGAAGCCTATCTTCTTGAGTCATTTGATTCATTAAGTTCGTATTATTATCATACTCAATGCTTTTCAAGTAATTTAAGTAATTTTTAAAGGAATTACATGAAGGCGTTTTTGTCGTTAAGAAATGCAAAAATAGTTCGGTCCTTAATAAGGTATGTTTGGTATTTTATTGAGACAGATGCATTAACATAAGATGGTCCATCAGGAAATATCTAAAATCATGTAGATAAGATGCATCTATAGATCGTCTCATATAAGATGGAAACATGATAAATATTGATCAGATAAACTTATAGGATGCTTCTCAATTGGCATAAAACTTACCTTATTAATATGAGTTATCATTTCGAGCTTTCGATCTTTGAAAATCCGCACTTTACCATTCGAAAATATGTATAATTTGCCAGATACTATAAATAAACTAAATTGATAAGAAAGAGAAAGGAGAAATGAACATTCATGTGTAGACTTTATCAATCCTTTTTGATAAGGGTTGAAAAACTGTTCAGTTATGCTATCAGAGTGATTAGATCAAAGGGATTGCTTACCTGTTTAATAATGAAATAACATTGATGATATCGAGATGTGCTTCATGTACCAATCCTCTACTATTGGTATTTGCTTTTTCTTCATAACCATTATTATATTTAGAGAAAAATTGTCGCCTTAAGCAATCTTAAAATGGCTTAAACCATCTAAAATTTTCTCTCTAACCTATTATTTATTTTGTGCCTTGAAAGTTAAAATTTTCGATCTCCGTCATATCTTACCTTCTATCACATTATTACTTCCTAATCGTAAACTACGTAAATTTACAAAAACTGTGGAAATTTTAATGTAAAATTTTTGCAATATAAAAATTTATATTTTCTTGCCTTCAGTAGCTGAATCAATTTTTTTCGGGCATTTGTAATTTTGAAATGTAATGATTGTTGTGACATTTTTTTCAACATTTCGATAATCTTTTACATCACATTGTTGTTCCGGTTTGGAGAGAATTCGAAACGGAAGGCATGCTTCTGCCACGTGATAGATAATAATGGTTAATTGTAATAATTGAATGAACATCTGAAAAAAAGTTAATTTTCAGGCTAGAAAATGTAATAGTTCTGAGAGATTATGACTTCATCCCTTATTTGAATTTACTAAATGTTTAATTACATGACTACTAGATCAGATTAATGCCACATAAGTAATTTGTAAAATATCCGTGATAACTGTGTTTTCCTGATCACAGTCTCTTCTTCAACTCATTACTCTTCAAACAGTTCATTTTCAAAATATTTCAATGATATAAAATCATCATAAAAGCAGGATGTGAAATTTCTTTCTTGCTTTGAAATTATTCGAAAAAATCATTATTCTTCAATTTTTTATTATACTTACTTCTTCCATCAGAATGAATATAAAATACAATGGAAAAAATATTATAATTCAAAAGAATAATGATTTTTATAATAATGATTTTAATGATGATAATATTTTAATATACATTAATGTTTTAATGATTTTATGAATAACGGTTTTTTGTAATTTAAAATTAATTTAAAAAAATTAATTTTAAAAAATTTCATATTAATTGAATGGACTAATTAATATGCAAAATTGTACAAATAATAATTTGAAATTAGAAAATTATTTGAGAGAATAAAAAAACGATAGTTGTTGAAAATGATCGGACAGATGAAATGATAATGCTATGAGACAATGATATTAATAAGGAGAGAAATTGAACGAGCCAAGAAAGACTTGTTTTCTTCTATTTTTCTCTTTTAACTTCTACTTTCTTATCAATCAAATAATTTCATCGAGTTTTTCTAAAAAAGGAAGATGATGATGAGGAAGTATGAGTTTGTTAGTCATTTTTAAGGTATGAAATTGTTAGTCAGTTCAGTCATTTTTTGGGTGGCAATAATTTTCAATCAATGAAATAATGTAAAATCGATGAAATTAATGTTATCTATTTGAATCTATTAGAAACTTTTCCAATAATTTTTAATAATATTACATTTTTTTTTAATTTGAAGTAGAATGTTTTGATAAATTGTACTTTGTATGTTAGATAGATAAGCTTAGAACGATTTTTATAAGAAAGAAGAGATAAAGGATAATACTTTCAATGAAAGTTTCTTTTATTATCATTTTATTTTATGGTTCATTTACTTACTTACTTAATAATATGATCGAGAAAGACACGTTAAAACACAATGTTATTTTAAATGTTGAAATTATGATCTTTTAAAATGGATTAAGTATTTATGTTGAATATAGGTGATAAAGCTTAGGATTATCTTTATAGGAAAGAAGAGATAAATGATAATTAGCAAATGGCTCTTACTAATAGCCCTGGAAAAGAAAAAGAAATTAAATATTTAAATATTAGCTATATCAAATAAAATAATTAAGAGGAAAATTCTCATCCATTTGATATGCAAAATAGCAAATGTAATAATACTAATTGAAAATAAATATTTTATAGTATAATATAACAACAAAATCTTATCTTTCAAACGATTTTAATTAGCAATAAATTTATAAATTTAATTCGTTATCATTCAACTTCCCACTAAAAATCTGAAATTTGTTTATTTTTTACAGTATCAATTTCAGGATAGTTCAAAATTATAGCAATTTAGTTTATATATATATATATATATATATATATACCAATTTATATGTATATCTTATTTTTTACAATGAAATATATTTTATTGAAATGAAATTATTCATTATGAAGGATTAAAAATCAATTATTATTTTATTGTTACACGTACACGCCATTTATTATTCTTACCTGTACAAATAAACATTTATAGGTGTGATCCTTTATCAATTCCTAATAAAAGTTATTGAGCGATCTTCGTCAAATTCTTTTTCACAAATTTCATTCATTAAATACTATTTCATTTATTTCAACAAAAAAATATCAGTCTCTTTTAAAAATTTTGCGTTATGTGGGTGATTTTAAAAGAGTACGATAAAACTATAAATAACATTTTGTGAATTTAAAATTTCCGATAAATCCTTTTCTAAAATCAGAATTTTCTTCTTATACCTTTGAAACATTCGCGACCGATTTTCAGCGAGAATAACTTATTATGCTTGTAATTTGAATAAAATATGCTTTTATTGTATTGGCAATGAATGTGCGGTTATTACCTTTTTGATACTATAAATATTTCAAAATGCATTGTTTAAATGAAATTTAGCAAATTGTGAAAGAGCGAGCGGTGTTTTATTTCTTATAAGTAACCATTTGTAATGTTTTGGTAAATTTGAGTATTTTTAGAATTGGCAAGAAATAACAACAATCAATATGTATTTTTTCTATTTTATCTTTCTCTTCTTCTCTCAATTATACATCCAAATTACAGTAAGTTTATTAAAGATTTAGAAAAAAAGTAAAACACTTAGATATTTCGACGATCTCAAATTTTTAACTGTTATGGATAATTTCATATAATTTCAGGAATTACAAAATGGAACAAACAAGTGCATTGGATTTATCAGTGAGTGTGGAAGGAATAAAACTGAAGGATTCATTAATGATAGAAGCGAATGAAGAACAGATAGCAGCATCACCAAATTTGTTAATCCAAGGAGTAGATGCTAAACGAAAATTACAGCACGTTGTATCTCCAAAAAAAAAGTGGTTGCAAAGACATATGATGAATGATTGCGATGAAAAGCTGCATGGTTGCATGGAAGGCACGGAAATTTTCTCTCGATCATCGGATTTCGAAAGGCATTTGATAAATCATAAGGATAAAAAGGTGTACAATTGTTTGAAATGCAGAAAAAATTTCTCTCAATCAGCGAATTTGAAAAGACATATGAGGATTCATACCGGTGAAAGACCGTACCGTTGTTCCGTATGCGAAAGAAGTTTCACCCGTACAGATGGTTTGCAAATTCATATGTTGACCCATACCGGCGAAAAGCCGAACTGTTGTTCCGTATGTGGAAAGAATTTCTCTCACCCATCGGTTTTGAAAAGACATATGAAGATTCATACCAATAAAAAACCGCACTGTTGTCCTATATGCAGAAAAAGTTTCACCGGAAGACGAACTTTGAATAATCATATGCTAATCCATACAGGTGAAAAAGCGCACGGTTGTTCCGTATGTGAGAAAAGGTTTTCTCGAAAAAGTGATTTGAATAGGCACATGAAAAGTTATCACAAAAAGAATTTCCCTTCTGATTGGACTGCATGCAATTAAAGTAAATCACTTTGAAATTACATATGAAGAAGTTTGAGAATAGAAACAGTGAAATGCATTTAAATTGAAATATGTGTTGATATTTCTGGTCCTGTAGAGGCTTCTGTATTTCATTAATTGAATTATTGCAATTTAATCATTCATCCTTAATTTTTATTATACCTTTTTTCGTCATTACTATTACTGTCATCCTTACCTATAAGTTTTTTCATTTTATATTTGACATGCAAAATAAGCATTGTTTTTCTGCCATTTATTTGCTGTTTCACTTATTTCATTTCAATGAATAAAATTCTCTTATTACTCGCGTATTATTGGACAAACACCCTTTGTTTTATTAATTATATCATTATGACATGCATAACAAACATTTTGATAAAATTCTATTGGATGCAAGGATAGGCATGTGAACATAAATAAGAAAAGTTGTGTAAAGATCTGATAACAACATAACGATCGAAACACGATTGATTATCAAATCGAAATATTTTCATGCGAATTGGTTTATAGTAATTTCCGATTGAGACAGTATGGACCTACGGGAGGATTTGAGCTTATATTTACTAAATTCTTCAATGTGCAGCTTATTTGTGCACCACTATTAAATAAGATTACGATTTCTTTGTAATTTCAGGTATATCCAAATTGATTATTTCAAACTCTTAGAGAGTAAGATTTCCTTATCCTGTCGATTCCAATGCTTATTTGTTGGATTGATTACCCTTATCAAATTTGCTTCCTCTTTGATCAGTCCATCAGACTGTTCGTGATCGTCGTATTTAATGTGGCATAATGCAGTGCTAAGGACCTCTGCAATGGAAACATATACGCTTCCTTTTATTGCAGTTGGTTGCCGTGTTTCTTGATTGAAAACAATTTAGGTAAATATTGTTTTTCTTCAATCGTTCCATTCTTTGATCGAAATTAGAATAAGTTTGACATTCATTATCCTAATGATCTTTATTGCAAAAAAGTTTTCTTACTAACATTTTTTGTAGTCCTATTCCCTTTGTAATTATGTGCCTGTGGTGTAGCTATAACTAAGGCCAAAGTTTCTTTCAAAAGTTTCTTTCTTTGAATTTTTCTCAAGAATTGTAATTTAGTTACGGACCATAATTCTTTTCTTTTTGCTGATAAATCTTATTTAGAACCCATACCGATAATTTATTATTATCCTCCATTGCTTCTAATCGCCGAAGTATTCTTTCTACAGCTTCGACCGTTACTTCCATTCTCGATTATTTCTCTTGATGAAGTGTAACTCTTTGTACAGCTACAACAACAGCTACAACCTCAGCTACCATTGCAGTTACAACTACGGCTGGCGGCTACGATTATGTGGGATTGCCCGAATTTTTCAATCCTTATAATGTCATAGTTTTCTGGGATTATATCATAGTTCCTAATTGCTAGTGTCTTTTACGTAATTCATTTTTGAATACCTGCAATATTTTATAGGTGCATTGCAATATCAAAACTATTCCAGAATCCTCTCCATAATTTTGGATTATCATTGAATATAGGCAGTAGTAATTGGGGCAAGTTCATCGTTAGATGAAGCGCTGAATGCAGTATAACAAATTGAAAAAGATATCTTGCCAACACCTCCATCTCCATCTCTAAACTACCAACAGTAATAATAAATACATCGTTCATGACTGCTCTGTTCATTTACTTCCTTGAATTCTCTATGTTAGAATTATTCATTGAATATTTTTTAAGAACGTTATGCTGATGGCGGAAAACATTTTTCAACGTAATCAGAGGGAATTGGATGTAATTAGTGAACGATTTAGTATTATTATATCCTAGATGAGTATTTTGAAACATCGAGATAAATCTTTCATCATAATGCCGAGCATTTTACCAAGAATTAGCTACAAAACTAACCACATGTCCGTCAGGAAATGAGAGAACCAATATATGATATCAGTTATTATAGTTGTGATAATAGATGTTAATAACTGCAGAATGAAATATCCAATATATGTAACTCAATATCATTAACATTTAGTTCTAAGTCTTAAATGAACTCTTCTAATGGCTTTATGCAGAATCACGACTTATGTCCAAACAATAATCGTATTCTTGCCGATTACCAACAGCAGCGTATTCTTTTTTGATTTTCTCAACAGGTTTTAATATAAGATTTGTAAACGAAGACCTCATTTTGGAAGAAGAAAACATGTTCGGAAACTTCAAATTTCAGAAAATTTACTGATTCCACCACTGATTACTGGTAGAAATTCATTTCCGACGTAATGTATTCCCAAAGAATAAACATGTCGGTAGCGCTTTTATTTTAAATTTGTAACAAATTTTTTTCACAGCCAGCCGAAAATCTTGTACTAAATACGATACACACATGGTAATCACCGAAAATTTCATAATTATAAATCAATTAAAAATCAAAAACAGTTGCATCTAGATCTATATCACTTTCTTCACCACTAGTATTCTGATGTTCTTCCTGGTTATTATTCGTTGGAAAATAATTATCAGTAAAGCACCTAGAAATATACTATGACCATCTCATGAGGGAAAAAACTAAGAATAAAGCATGAAAAAGAAATAGCTTAGTTCGATATAAGTTAGAAACTGAAGACTTGCCTATTACTACTTATTGACGGTGACATTGCCTTCTTGTCATTTGTGACTGAAAAAAAAACATGGAGTGAAGAAATAACTTCAAGTCACAACTCTCATAATAACTGATGAAAGATATTATTTTTGAAGCAGCAAAACACAAAGCGCTTAATCCAAAATTGGCAAAGTTTAACTGGATTAAAACTAAATTTTTATTTTCAACTGCATGAATGAAAAAGCTTTTTGCCACGCGTTTATCATGTTGACAGTTAATTGAAATTCCATTTCAATTCCTAGAACAACAGCATTCGACTTAATAAAAGTTCATAAAAACAGGAAGTTGGAATTAATTTACCTTTATTTTTTACCAGTGAAAGATTCGAGTCCGAATCTTCGTCATCTGATTCAAATTTGAAGGATGAGAAACCTGGAAAAAGGAAGCTTCACAATCTTGCCCAAAACTTAATGCTATAATTTCAAGAATTCTGCGTTCCATGAAGATAGCTGATATACGGTTAATGTAATTAAGATATCAGACAGCAAAATAATTAAATTCTTAATGATAAGAAACTGAATGCATCTAGCAAATCTTCAACGGAAACAAAATTCTTCTCTACTATCTTCTCCCTTTCAATTACCAAAATTGGGAGGTAGTGTCCATTTTCCAAAAAAAGTTTTTGATAAGAAATCTACATTACGAATACTAATTCTTAAATCCTCGATAAAAGAATTAAAAGCGCAAGCAAATTAAATAAATAACGGAAAACATCACTTTCACATAATTCCTCAGATGAAAAAACTTACAGTCATCTGCAATGCTGGATTTATTTCTTAAAGATGTATCCACAAGCTGTTTCTTTGTTATCGAGTTCAATACGGGAGCAACAGATGGGAAAATAGACTTCCTCTTCAGCGGACTACCGATTCGGAATTCAGTATTGTCTGTACCAATTTTATTTGTTTGCATATGGGATGATATTTCACGACTAGGAACTACTGTAGTTGAACTTTTAGTAAGCATTTCATTATGTAATTCTAAGGTTGAAACGATTGAATTTTTTGCATTCATTTTTACTTCTTCGAATAGATCCGTTGCACAGAGAGATATATTTAACTCATTTTTTCCGTGCATTTCTCGATTAGCAATGCTCAAAGAACTACTAACGGAATGTGGTTTTCGCTCCTGTAAATCTTCTTTGCCTGAATAACATGGAATATTAATATCTATAGATTCTAGTTCTTGCTTTTCTCTGGATTCAGAATCATCAAAATGAAAGGCTGGCTGTAACCAGTCGTTCGTTGTTTGATTTTGTCTTTCACTTCTGTTATCTGTCTTCCTTGACTCGGTAATAATGTCTTCTTTTTGCTTGCAACAGGATATAATTTCCTTCTTTTTTGTGGCAATCTCTTTTCTTTGCAAAGATATTGAACTAGGCAGGAAATTTTCGTCGGTAGTTGTTGCTGAAATATATTTAGAAGATGTTCCAAACGACGGCAATGATCGTTCTTGACTCGTTGAAGGTCTGAAATTTGGTGACTTGAATTTTGCAAATATGCTAACTTCCGTAGCTGGCATATCTGAGATTTATTTTACAACTATAGTTCCTCAATCACAACTCCAATGTTTATTGACTGCAGCTAAGGGAATAGTAAAAAAATAGAAAAACTTGATGCTTAGACCAGATGCGATCATTTAATGTCATGCGTGCTTACAGCAATTCATATATTTATATCTCTACCTTTTAAGACCATACCTTTTAAGATTTTTTCCACATTAGACTAAATAAAATTCGCGAAGCTTATCTTATGTAATCATACTTTGTCTGTTGCAAACGACAGCATGCACAACATTAATGAAATATGTAAATTTGCTCAAATTTCACAAATTTCAAGAAAAAACAGTTACTTACTGGTCCCAAAAATCCGTTAATTTTAGAGTATCTTTATTTTCAGATAGCAAAGTACCCACATCCTTCGAATTTTCATTATCTATCTTCCCAGTACTATCTGTTGCTTTGCTGTTCTTTTTGTTTGCACCCTTCCGAGACCGCCTTTTTTTAGCCGAAAGCAATGAACTTTCAGCAATGTTTCCAATAAACGAAAGCTAAATTGCACGAAATGGATATATTCACCAATTTGGATTATGAAAGTTATATAAAAGGTATAAAAGACGAAAAAAACTGAAAAAACTGAATCTGGTTCTAAAAAAATTGACCATGCTTTCATTTCTTCGGAAAAGAAGCCTCAAATCCGAAATGTTGACGATTGAACGCCTTGCGTGCCTGTAATAATGACACTTGCATCAGTTAACTAAACTTTTAAAGATTTCGTCAACATAGACATTGCATAAAATCCGTGAAATCATACTTAGCGAATTGCAAGAGTTCACTGGGCCAGGTAGTACATAAAGTATCACATATAGTAAAAGCCACTTGTGCAACCACTTCTTTGTCAAATTCCATTTTCTGACCTTTTTTCTCCAATTCCTCAACAACTTCGTCCTGTATAAGCATGCACGAATAATGGATAGCATCGAGGATTTCTTGGTACTAAAAAAGCATGCAAATTATGAACATTCCAAATTCAACTCTTCTAATGTGACTTAGTAATCTATGATTTTCTAGAAAAAATTCATATAACAACAGTCACATTCTAAAATATTCTAGTCATGAAAATATACCTGCACTAGGAAGAAAGTAACTAAACAATCATCTGAACTACAAAAAACGGATTTTATTTGCACGGAAACTGAAAATGTTTGCAGTTACTGCATATAACAGAAAATATTCATAACTTGATGCACATTTATGTGTAACCTAACAAAGAAGAAAAACAACCATAGAATGGAAGAAGGAAAAATCAGAAAAAGCTTAATAACAATCGCAAAATAGAACTTTTGATTACCAAACAGATCTTATAAGACTAATAAATTATGATGCAGATCCTGAAGACTTGGAAAAATTCCCTCTCAAGTATGCAGCATCTCAAGTGTGCAGAAATCTAGAAAATTTATTTCCTCCACGAATAGTGGAAAATATAAAATATATGCCAGATGAAAAATCGCGTAATAAATCATGCCAAGTAAAGCAAATAATCATTGACATCGATGATCAACAATCAACGAAGGAATCATTAGAATAAGAAGAAACCTATGCAAATATATTGAGGTCTAAGTCATCATTATGAGTGTATATTACAGCAGATAAACACCCAACTGACAAATAGATAAAGAAACTCACCCAACTTGATCAGATCAAATTAAATAATTATATACAAATACGTGCTGACTTTCATATGATTAAATCATTCTTTTTTAAAATTAGAAGCATTGGAATTTCTGAGTGTACATTACAATTTCGGATCTTCAACTTGGAATAAATCTTCACTTCATTTTCGATATGGAAATTGACGCTCACACTTTGCCATTGTTTTCGCTCCTCATATATAAGATCCAGGAATGCTCGGAGAGTACCACTTCTATCCGGCGCCATAACGCATGCGATTCCGCCGGGCTTTAGATGTCTATAGATGCAATTCAGCAAAGTACGATGTTCTTCCGTGAAAAATAAGCAATCAGCACATAAAATAACATCAAATTGCTTGTTTGGTATAGTAATATTCCAGGGTAGCACAGAGCAGGTTACATGGCTGCTTAACTTATTTACTTCAATGATTTGTCGGATGTTTTCCACGGACTTCTCATTACCATCTGTCAAAACTACTTCTGCTGCACCAAGCGCAACCGAAGTAAGACCACTTAAACCAACCATTCCGGATCCAAGTTCCAGGATAGTTTTGTTTCGGACTAGCCTTTCATGTTTTAGCAAATAATATGCTAAACATTCTTCGGATGGCCATATTTTGATATTTCCGCTATTGTTGAAACCAACCAAAATATTGGGTGTCACGATAACAGCTGAATAGATGTGAACATCGAACTCGACATCTCCAACAGGGGATTTCAAGTGGTACCAACGACCCGTGTTGGAAAGTTTTGGGATGAAAAAAGCTTCAAAAACAACAAACGTTGCTTCCACATCAGTCGTAACATCACTGGCTTGTTTTTTGTAGTTGCATCGCACGTGATATGACAATAAATTCCAACGCTGTCGGGCTTTGGAAACTTCTGCTCCAGGTAATGGTTTCTAATAAATAGTACTAAGGGTATCACAAACACTAAAATGATAAGCAATAAATCTAGCATGATTTATATCGAGCCTTTTTTACAATTTATAGATAGTATAATGAGCACTGTAATTGCTAGAAAAAGCTCTTTAATTGCCAACATGAGTGTAAAACTGTATCGATCGCCGCGCAGAAAGTTTTTACCCATCCCTTTAGTACAAGAAATGTCCTTGTCCATTTCTGTACATACAAAACAATTTCCTTAGTGTCAACAGGCACGCATCATTGCATGAAGTGTGAAGCAAACTAGGCACTTTAACCTTCATTACTCGTTCATTACTCGAAAGATAATAATAATGCTTCAGTTTTCACTATACAAATTCTCTAAAATACTGAAAATGATTTACTTCAAGTTTCGAAACTTCAGCCTGCGGAGACTTTTCCTTCTCTTTTTTTGATCGTTTGTGGGGCACAACAGCTAAATCCTCCTCACCATCCACTGATAGCTTACCATTCCGATCTTCTTTGTCATGATCGGCACTATACATTTCCTGAACAAAAAGTCTATTATAATTAATAAGAGTGTTCCATTAAAGAATTCGGATAATCCTTTCAGAAGTTGATAACTGATCTATTTCTATGCATACATATCAGTTGCTGGATGTCCGGAAAATGTGTGATGATATTGTTACTATTCGAACTTATTACCAAGCATTTCACCAAATAGTAAATATAAACAATTAACAGAAAATCAGCATTTTTCAGGTTTGTCACAAAATTTAATATTCTTTTCTGAAAACATAACTTTAATTATTTTCTAGTAGAGTGTTGTGAAAAATCTGAGGAAAAACAACGCAATTACTTCATGATTTTTTGTAATATTTTGATGGAAGCCAAACAATGGTAGATGTATTTAAAAAAAACATTAGAAATAGTACATAAAGTAGAAACTAATGAAACAGTGAAGTAAGTAATTATGTATAACCTAAAAAGCAAAAGTAGCTAGCGAGAATAGTAACCTACGAAATGGATCTTCACTTCTGCTGATCACAAATAACAGTATTATTAATATTATAAGGTTAATTAATAAATTATAATGAAATAAATTGGCCGTATTTTAAAATATTTCATACTGAGCTTGAAATAATTAGTATCCTATGACGTATTCTGATCCCATATTTTTATGTTTTAATTAATTTATCTACTGTAAATTTCATTTGAGTTGTTTCGGTACATTTTAATTCATATTCTAACGTGTATATATTTTAGTTGCAATATATTTTTAATTCATATTCAAAAAACCTATAAACCTATAATCTAACCTATAATCTAACCATTCCGATATATTCAGATTCATACGCCGTTCCTAATTAGTGCAAAAAATCTAAATAGTTTTTAGCATGATTTTAGTTTTAAACTTTTTCTATATTTACAAATTTCACACCATAGTAACGCGCAAGAGTTGGACAAAACCTTGGCTTACGCTGTTGAATTAAGTGCATTATATGAAAAAGTAGGAAATTTAGAAATTTAACAGTTTTTGCAATTGAAATATCACAGAGCGGTCGTTCATTTACAACAATTCCTCTGGAATGAGTTTCGATATTGGGTCTTTAACTAATTCGTACTCTGATGATGACGTTACAGATTCATTAAAGGCATACATTTTTTTTAATTTAAAATAAAAGTCCTCATATTGCCACGTTTAAAATCTACTATCCTTCATTCTTCATATTTACAACTAATTCTTCTTTATGCTCATACATATCAGCAAAGTCATGATTGAATTTTTGCAATGTATAAAACTACATGAACATGGATAATTTCAATGTGGTTTTACAGATCTTTTTTAATTGGTGAGAAATTTATAGGGTTGGTCAAGTCCATTCACTATCTCACAGTATGAGCATGACAGTCCGAGGACCGCCAACATAGAGACATCTGAAATTCCAACAGCAGGATGCAATGATGAAAATAAAAAATGCCAAGCTGTTGCTAGATCTATGAATACCATGGGTACCGTAAAATCATCCAATCTTCTTGTTAGTCCATCTCAATCGTGAGAATTGGTGACTTAGTAGAGCGTATTTCATTCTGGGACTGTTTTTATAAGATTATCAATTAAAAATTCAAATTTTAATTTGCTTATATGAGATCTTCGAAAATTTGCAGCAAAAAATGTCATCTAGTAACAGATAGACCATAACTTGGAAACTATCGAGAAAATGATTAGTTTATTTCAAAAACAACAGAATTATGCTGTCAAAATTATCACTAATCTCCTAGCAGGTCAAATTTCTTCAAAAAATTGTTAATATGTATGAAGGTACATACACTGAAAGTGGCTTCCAATAGCAGAAGCAATTCTAATTTTCAGCAGGACAGAACAGTATAGGTTACGGCAAGCAAATTACATAAATCTATCTTTCAGATGTTAATATTCAAACGACTATCCAACCACCAATATCAGGGACTGAAAAATCATCAAAAATATGGTAAATTTCATGAATTCTTCTCTTACAAAATTTACATCATATGTTAAATCCATAAAACGAAACAGTGTATATAATAAATGAAATTTAATTGTTAGGATCCTAAATCGTCAAAATAACTATACACTGATCACATTCAATCCGAAATCGCAATAGCTTTAACTAACACGCTGCACTACACGATCGAGCAGTCGATGTAAATTTCATTATCGATATCCATCGGACCTTAGAAATTTAAATATAAAACTTAAGGTTTCCAATAAACCAGCCAGTTTCCTCAACAACGTCAAGAAGAGGAATTTTAGAACGAAATCATGACTTAACAGCACGGTCAAATGGTGATTTTATCAAATATTGTTTTACAGTCTCTTCCATCAATTTTTCTCCCGTTTGTCAAATTAGGAGTGAATCGAGTTTTTGACATCTCTATTTAATGTGATTATCTCTAACAATGTGTTGTCTCCTTAACGTTGTTCAAATTTTATACAATTTCCCCTCTTTTATTAGAACTTTTGTTAAAGAACGAAATTATCAGAATCGAAATTATTAAATGTTAACTTAATTCAAGCTGAGGAAAACCATCATGATGTCGAAGTTAAACCATCGATCAAAATGAAACAACAAGAAATTGAAAGCAGTCCGCGTGATACACTCGTTCAAGTAACCACTAATCCATTTGTTCATCTATGTTCTCGAGACAAAAATAAAGCTCTTCATGAATGCTTACATAAATGTTTATGAAACCAAATTTTAACGTGGATATATTTGCTTAATTTAGGACATTATTCCTATTTATTCTAATTTCTTATAATTTTAAATTATTGTTTTTCTTTTACTATATCACTTGCTAAAAAAATTCAACGCCACTGTTATACCATCTTAAAGAAGTAATATCATATTATATGATTTAAGTTTCACTCAACTCTCTATCATAAAATCATGACATATGGTACTATAGGCATACGGATGTATCGACTTATCACTACAAGCAACCACACCAACTACATTCATACTTACAGGCATTACGACTTCACGTGAAATACGTATAAAAAAATTATATGTTAATGGACAAAAATATGTTTTCGTATAATTACATTGAATGATATGTATTGAAATATAATTACTTCTCGTATTCTAACGTAACAGTACAATAAAGCTACTCTGCTCATTTTGTACTGTCAAAGAAAAAGAAATTACACATTTTCAAGATTACAAATGAAAAAAATGCTATGATAGGGTCAAAATTGTTTGCTGCATAATTATTTGAAAAATAATATATGATGGAAAATAATAGGAGGATTACAAGCACGTGCGTCAAGACGTGACTATCCACTTAACTACACAAAAGCACAATTCGAAACGTGAAAACGTTGAAAGCTTTTGGGCGTGTATGTTAATAGACATTTTCCATTGTTTACTGATGAGAAAGTGAAGAGTGTGCAAGAAAGGAGTAGTGAAGGAAATAGTGTATAATAATTGTACAGCGGAGAGGTTAAAGTGTTGCGAAATACAATTGATTCATTTTTTAAATTACTTTTGAAGCTGTCTACACTGACTTCGGTTATTATATTCGTTTTTAAGCATGTTTGGGGAACATACTGTTTGCATCGTGTAAGGCCTAAATTGAAATAGGTCATGTTGAAGAGAAGTGGGAGAAGTGTATTGATATTGAAGGAAGAAGAAAAGGAGATCTTTAGAAGAAATTTTCTTCGGGAAATGTTTTTTGAATAGTTCATTTTGCTTTCTTTCTAAGTGAAAAAAGTAATTCAGTGAATTATATAATTTCATATAGCTTTATATTATGTTGATTTGTCTGTGCCTATTTCGTAACCTATTTACATATCTGATATTTTCCATTCGTCAATATAATTGCAGATATTTGCCTAGGTAACAAGTTTTTTCGTAACTTGTTTAAACGCCTGCGTTAAGCGATCATTTTACCTACGAAATTATGACAGAACTTATCGGACATTTGGGTCAAAAATCATGGGAGAACTTATTGGAAATATGCCTGGATTTATCATGAATGATTGGACCATATTTGCTAAATTATCAGAAATACCTTTATTTTTCAGATTGTAGGTTTATTCCTAGCACTTATTGTTTTTGTTTTTCCTGATGAAAGAACGAACTATCCAAGTTTGCAGTTAGCATCGCTCTAGTTAATCCATTCTGTCCTTATTCAGTGAGTTCTATACCGGTTTTGTTTCCCGCGATCATTTTTTACTCCTGATTCCCATTGTTTGAGAAAAATCACTCGGAAATTATCGGTTTGTACAAAATGCATCTACCTGATGCACGGACATAACCCAGCAGCACTTTCTATATGTGTTGACAATGTCATCACGATCGATAATTCACGCTATATTCTCTTCACATATGTTGTGTCGTAATAAATTGACAGTTGGAGAACTATTTTAAGATAGCGAAATTTAAAAAGTAGCTTACTCTGTAGCGAAACTAGGCGACACATGAATCCGCATTTTGCGTATTCTGACGTAAATGTGCGTACTTCTTCTAGTGGATATCACAGGATATGTAAAAGGATTCTTTCTATACTGATCACAGTGGGATACGAGAAAGCTGTGCATGTGCAAGAATGAATTCTCTTTGTTAACAGTTGCATTTTACGTAAAGACATAATGTCTGTAAGAGCTTGCAGTTCAAGCAATTTTAGTGCTAATCAGTATATTCTTGTATTCATAGTATACATTATATTTAATAGTGAGCTTCATGCATTTATCAGCATATGAATTATTGATTGAGAAATTGGACCAGGACTACACGGAATTTCATTTAACAAGTAATGCAATGCAGTTAAACATTTATAAAATCAAGGAATGATGGAATTGAACGATAGTTACAAGTTGTGAGGAGCTCTCTAAAGCTGCGGTGTCACAGATTTGGTTATTTTAGATCAAATATATTTGTGTCCGAAAAATTGAGTACATCAATATTAACATTAACACTCTCGTTTTTGCTTTCTTTGAATGAAGAACACGGGACGTTCGGAATTTAAGCAGATCAGGATAAGACAGCATATCGTGTATATCCCG